TTGGAAACCAAGGAGTTGGGTGCTTGGTGGGGTGGTTTGGGACTCCCGTGTTCGTGGGAGATTAGACCCTTACGTTAGGACTCTTCGCTTCTGGTGGTGTTCTGAATGGGTTGAAAATTGCAATTAATAAAAGGACCTGATGCTTTTTGGAATACTTTATCTCTCCGGAGCATATATAATAGAGGATATGTTACCTTGACCTCGTGGCGTAACGCTTTAACTCGACTTTTCGGCCTGTCTTGAAAGTATTTAATCCTCTTGACCTAGTTATAGTAAGGACTCTAACAGAGATAGATATTTTAACTTCGAGTCTTTAGCCAAGATGATAGAATTGTAGCATAGTGCTATGAGGGTTGAATAAGATAGTAATTAGATTACTCAGATAGGAGATGAGGCTCTTCTTATATCTCACTCTTTACAGAATCAACCTTTTAATTCGCCGCAGCCCTTAGTATCCCTATTAACTATCTACGATCATATGTATATTAAGTTTAGGTAGTTAAGTCTTCAATAAGCGACACTATTTGAGTATTACGACGTAGGTGACGGCTAGTATGATTGGCACACGACTAAGTGCGGTTTGAGTTAAAGAGGTATAGATTTAACAAACTGCGTAGGTAAGTATTTATAAGCTACTTAGTAGATCCAATGGGAGGAAGAGTATTTACTTAGAGGTTTAATCGTAAGCCGTATAAGTTGCCCAGGCAATATGTTGGTTGCAAATATACACACTCCATACCGTCTATTAGGTAGAAGATGCTCTTTCTAATAGATAGTAACAGGCAGATGTAAACTATAACTAAGGAGAAGACGAAAAGAGGGCAAGGAGAAAAAAAAGAGCTTAATGACCTTAAACTTGCTCTAGGTATGATGCTATCCTGATGAAGAGCTCTCGGTCTTGGAGGCAGTGATTTGGTTTCTCTGTTCCACGTAATTATAACGTACTCTCATGTTTACCTCCTAAGGATCACGATCTTCGCCGCGGCATAGGAGACCGAGGTGTAAAACGGAACGTGGATCCACTGATGGGGAAAAAATACACGCACACAAAAAACACAAACAAACACCAAAGTGGAGTGGAGATGCTTATCGTTTGGAAGATATGGCATTCCGGAAAGGTCGGGGATAACTCGAAGCGGATTTGGAAGTGTCAAAGAGTACCTAGAGAGGAAATGGGCGGGAAGGTGCGTCTCTCGATCTTATTAGTGCAGGCTCCCGCGGTCTATCTCTCGGGTCGAGCAGGTACGAAGGTGATGTACTTGCCATGATTTCGAGATGCAAAACCGGCTTAGAATTTGATCCAGCTTCAAATTTGTCTCACCTTTCAATCTAAGTTTCCAACCTTCCTCGGATTTTCAGGTGTTTCTCAGGTGTTTCTCAGGTGGTAGTTATCCAGTCTCATCGCTTCTCCTCTATCTCACTTTATATGTCTTGGTTTACAAACCTACCTACCGCCTTCTGCATCCTTACTTCACCTCAAGTCCCATCACTAATTCCGTGTCACTCTAGCAATTGAGGTAGTCAATTCGTCAACAGTGAGTGGCGGGACTTTTGAATCTTTTACCAATACCACCGTACACGAAACTCAGCCATCTTGGTGAACCTCTTTTCTTCTAACCCCCTAACCCCCTAACCAGCCAGCCCTTTAACATTCCGATCTATCCGATACCTGATTAAAACCAGCACGAGAGGAATTTATGAGAGGACTCTTCTAATCCTAGATAATAATAACATGGCTCGTTCAATCCTTCTTGGAAGTTAACTTGACTGCCGATGAAAATTTGGCCCGTCATTACACTACCTTTGTGTCACAATTGCACCGAGTCCTTGAAAGTCCCCATCCACCAAACCTACCATCATTATACAGATTATACCGCGACGGATACCAATTCTTCACAGGAAGGCCTTAGATGGCAAGTCAACCATAAACAGCCATCATGTTCGACGTTCTCTGGACTGATCCCAACCGGGAGTTGGTGGGCGAGCGGATAGTAAGAAAAGAGCAAGAAGCTAAGATGAAAGAAAAGGAGAAAAAGCAAAAGCCTGAGAATGGCCGTCAATCTATCTCGACTGAGAGCTCGACTTCTAGTGACCGGGGGTTTGGAATATTTTCGGCTAGAAGCCGAAGGAAGACCCCAACGTCACCTAAGCCAAAGGACCCGACCACATCGCCCGCTCCTCCAGCTCGTAATGTTGGCAAGGTCAACCGAACATCATCTTACGGTGTCAAGACTCTGCTTCACCATCAGGATGAATCGGAGATTACCGTAAAACCTGCCGAGAGAGGCTACCTCCCTACCCAAGTTTCGGAAGCAGCCGATGTCTCTAGTCTGTCGTCGCCAGGTGGGAAGCCTGAATCCTCTGAGATGATATATATAATCACTAATTCTCGGCTACGGTAGATTCCACGTTGTCGAAATGGACAGATCCATCTGCTGTTACCAATAGCACTGGCGTCGGGGCCTCCGTGAGCGACGCTACTACCAGTACGAAATCGGAGTATTTGATTCAGACCCTAGGGCCATCTTCATTCATCACAAGAACTACCGAAGTAGTGTACTCGCCCCATGATCCAGACACGGACGTTAACCAGTTGATTTCCGAAGTCCATATCTCGGCTGGCCGAACAAAGGCCCCAACACCACCAATACCGGATTTCCCAGAGAGAACGTAAGTCTACAAAGCTTATAACGTGGTGGCCGAGATTATCCTAATTTTCTTCCAGGAACTTCTTAGCATTTGATGATCCTGGCTCTACTAGACCCTCTTCTAGGTCGCTGCATACGCCACCTCCTATCGAATTCCATCATAATACCGGCATATATACTCCAGGATGGAATGGTATCGATAGACTAGGAAATGCGGACGCCTGGAAGCCTCCCCACGAGTGGGATTGCACTCCGAATAGAGAAACGATCACCCAATCCGACGAGGAAGGATTGCACAATTCATTGATCAGTGACGATTCCGACAGATGCATGTCTCCGAGCCTTGCGGCGCTACAACGTGAGGTTCGAATGATGGCAGCGGCAAGTCCGGAGCTTATGCTTGCCAATATCAAATCTAGCATGGGCCATTCTTCGGACGCAACGGTTTACAAAGAACTTGAGATGACTAAGAAGCGTTGGATGTTTTCTGCCCTACAACACGAGGGATATGTTCCGCTCGTGGAGCGCGCAGGTAGCTGTCCCGGGAGTCCGGATTCGTCGAAGCCCCCTGGATCTGCCAGGATCCTTGCACTCTACGAATCTCAAGGTGTGTACCCCAGTGAGGAGGCAGTTTCCTTGAAGTCTTCCTAATAATACATATCTAACTAGCATCTGCTTCGTTTCTCGCTGCTCTACATCCGCAAGCCTCGATATCACACCTATCGCCAAAGCCGATATCTCCAAATTTATTTCCAAACGTCCAGCCATTACTTGTGCCGGCAATATCTGCATCGGCAGGTTCTCGGCCGCTTGCTCCACAGCTGTACTCAACTGTAACATGTTTACCTATGCCTGCATTGTTTCCTTCGAGCGAGATCCCTCCACTTCTCCGTCACATCTACCGCTGCCTCGCCCCCGGCGGTGCTCTACACTTGACCCTTATAGACCCTCAACCAGTCTCATCTTCAATGGGTCCAAAATTGCGACAATGGTTGTTCGAGAACCTCTTGATACAACTCGAGAAGAAGTGTCGTACTACGTTACCAAGTGACACATTTCCCGCCTGGTTAGCTGTTGCGAAACTTCGTGGATTCGGAAGTACCATCACAACTATCTCCGTACGTGCCGTACACGAGTGCGCTACTACGACAGAAGATATGAAGGACCAATCATCAGTAGAAAGTGAGCTCCGATGTCTCATCTCAAGAATGTTGTGGCAAGAGATATGGGGAAAATTCGTCCACGCCGACCGATGGTGGTGGGAGGAGGAAGACATAGTCCAGGAATGTATCGAAAGGGGGACTTACTGGCAGTACTCCCACATCGTGGCAGTCAAGAACAATAGGCAGTCATCTTAGCCCAACTCCTACTGATTACGAAAATTATGAGCAGGGGAAGGGTTGGAGGTTGCATGCAGAGTCATTCTTTCGGGAATTGAGTTATCAAAATGGTAAGCAACTACTCGAGCTACCTCATCGTATGGTCGTTTGAGAAGAATTATTCGACAATACTGCGCCTTATATGCTGCTAAGGACAGCAAGGCGCCTTTATAGTAAGTTGTCTGAAAAGCTGTCGCGCTATGTAACGCAGCGGGTCATATTCACTCTTACCAAGGCCTAATGTTGGTGGAAGATACCCGGATGCAAGTCTTTCGTTTAGCTGATATTCATTTGGTATTCTCTCGCTCTTGTCGCAGATTCCATGCTAACTTTGATTATATTATCACTCTAAGCATTTCCAATAAGTGAGCGAAAAACCGTTAAATGTACCTACATCTCCGTGTTTGGAACTGTTGTAGCTGGAGCAAATAAAATTAATATTTAGTCTAGGTACCTCCTATACGTGTACGTAGGTAACGTTGTCCCTCATATTTTCGTGCTTCTTCGACATGTGATTGCATTCTAAGCCTATAATTCTTGCTCTTAGGATGAATCTAGGCGTTGGCCCGACAGTTTGGGTCTCCGAAACCACATGATATTGTTCGTTCTAGAATCCTAATGGTAGAGTCTTTGATGCTAGGGAATATACTGTGATGTCATTAGGGAGTATGTATGGTTGCAAGAGGGTGGCGAGCGAGTGCGTCTGTACCTCTTGCTACCCGAGTTACGTGCGTTTGGAAATGGCACAGGCGGTCTACTTACTGTACGGTTAGATCGGCTGGCTTAATCACTAGTGAATCTCACAGCCACGAGGGTTCTTCTTTAGAATAGCTCGACTTTGTCCTTTCTAGAAATATCGTGCTATTTCTAATACCTTAGGTACCTTAGGTATAGGTATGTATCAAAGCATCTTAGCTTATATCCCCTCCCATCGTCATCCGCTTCGCTATAGCCCCCCCCCCCCCCCCCCATTCTCCGCCGCCACCCAGTGCGACATTACCACAGAAGCACCAATCTAGCGTCACCCGCAATTCTTCGATCCTCACCTCCTCGCGTAGTCTCGAGCGCGGTCGAGGTTAAAGGCGGCGCTAATGAGGGCCAGATGGCTAAAGGCTTGGGGCGTGTTGCCTAGCTGCTCGCCGCTGCGCGCGATCTCCTCGGAGAACATGGACAGGTGGTTCGAGAAGCTGAGCATGTTCTCGAAGAGGTTGACGGCGCGCTCGAGGTACCGCGGCTCGTAGACCGATGCGCGGGTTAGCGCTTCGACGAGCCAGAAGGTGCACATGCTGAATGCGCCTTCGTGGCCGCCGACGCCTGGGGGGGGTGGGTTGTGTTAGTAAAATAGGTAGTAAATACGTATAGGGGGTGGGTGGGTAGGTTATGTCGCGGGGAGGGAGAGGGGACTTACCGTCGTTGGCGAGCTCCGTGTTATACCGGTAGACCAGGCCTGCGCTCGTTAGCCCGCCTTTCTCTGGCGCGAGAAGGATGCGGTCGACGGTGTTGAGGAAGCGCGGGTCGTTGGGGGTGATGAAGAAGACTAGGGGCGCGATTAGGATCGAGGAGTCGAGGATGGTGTTGTTTTCGTAGCTTTGGATGAAGCTTTCCATTTCTGTGTTGTAGCCTGATCTCTTGTATTAGTCTGGGTACCTAGGTATGCTAGTGAGAGTGGGAGTGTGAAAAGAAGGGTTGTTAGGTTACCTTTCTCCATGACTTCTTCGTAAATAGCGTCTCGAGCCGCGAGCCACTTTCCGCGGTTGGGACATGGGAGACAGCGCTTCTCGGCGAGGCGGACACCTCGGTCGAGGGCGACCCAGAGCATTATTTTCGAGTAGACGAAGTGTTGCTTGTGGTTGCGGACTTCCCATATCGACATATCCGGTTCTTGGAGGCCATCTTGTTAGTGCTTAGTTTCCTCTAGATTATGGTGTTTTACATACCGTGAAGTATTGTTAGAACGTGGTCTGTCTAAAGTCAGCCATTGTTTTTTCCATCCGGGGTTGTTTGACAATACGACCTACCAAGCATTTTGCGAACCGAAACCCAAGTGTCCCATGATATAGGCTTTCCATACTTGTTGTAAAGATATATGGCGTCCATCAGTTCGCCATATGTGTCGAATTGCTTATGGAATGCAGCTCCATTGCCGATTCGGACCGGTCTACTACCTTTGTAGCCGTCGAGATGGTCAAGCTCTTGCTCCGGTATGTCGGTCTCGCCCCTAATGGTAAACATGATCGGTAGATCGCTGCCCTTCGCCGTAGTCTTCTGCAGTATTCCGCTGATGAACTCCATATAAGCGTCCGCTTCTTGCGTAAACCCCATCCGTAGCAAGATGTAGATTGTGAAGCTGGAATCTCGGACCCAGGAGAAACGGTAATCCCAGTTTCTACGCCTAGTTAGTTACTATCATTTCCTCGCAGCTTACATGACAGAAATAGGACCTACCGAACTCCACCGATCGCTTCGGGTATTGAGAATGTAGGGGCCGCGACTATGGCTCCTGTGGGCTCGTACGTTAATAATTTTAATATCATGAAACTTCGCATGACTACCTCGCGCCAGGCGCCCTTATAACTGCTTTTAGAGAGCCATTTAAACCAGTACGCCTGCGTGTTATGTTGTTGAGCATCGAGGATCGTAGTTGTGATGTTCTCCGTAACGTGGTTTGGTTTATCTTCTCGAATAACGAATGAAATCGCCTGGCCCTCTTGCAGCGTAAAATTGGCGACAACCCCCTCGCCTTTCATACCATCTCTCTGCACCTTTTTGAAAAGAAGGGTTGGGCAAGTATCTAACTCTCCGCCGCCGCAGTCGATAGTCACATCGAGTTGAAGATTTAGGTCCTTGCTGTGGAAAGTGACAGTCTTGCTCTGGGGACTATCAACTCCACACACTTTTTGTAGTATGGTAGTCGTGTGAGACTCCCTTGCATAGTCGAACGCTGGGAAGACGTCCACGTCTTGACGTATATTAGCAGCTCGACCTTAGCGATAAGGACGATGGATAACATACCTAATGACATCTGACCGCGGATGCACTCGACTCGCCGAACTAGCCATTTCTTCAGCTCTTCGTATACGCTCCTGGCCTCGCGATAGGCACTGTGCTTGTATTTCGTAGACGGAACGGTAGACTCCTTGGGACGGGGGAAAAAGTCCACAACGTCGACGACGCCATCTTCGTTAATATAGCGAGTTTGTAAGATGGCGGCCGATGGGAGGTATTGCTGCTTGGTTGTGCATGATGCGGGCTCAGGGGGGGCTATACTAAAGTAGCCCCCCTTGTGCTTGTCCAGGAGACGGCCAAACACGGATGGAGAGTCGAAGTCTGGCCTATGACTGGAGTTAGCTTAAATTCTACTTCAAAACTACTTCTTGTCTTGAATAAATTTAAAATTGTTGATATAGCAAGAGACAGTTAATAATAGGTCACTTTGCTTTATTTTCGGGTAGAAACCTAGGACGATACCATAGTAAGAAAAACTCACCAGCACATGAAATCTGATTAGGCAAAGCGTTCTCTTGTTAGCTTTCTTGATACTTGATAAAAAACTTAAACTTGAGTACCTAGGTAGGTAAAGACGGTTTCACTCACCTATACTCCCATCCATGCTTACCAACGAGCAAGTTCTCATATTCCCAATCATGCCATAATTCTCAATCGGAAGATACCCAGCAACGTCTCTTGTAGAGACGTTTAGGGTATTACACTTAGCGGTAGCCATGGCGAGCGAGAATGAGGTCTGCCGGAGTTAAGGTATGAGGACGGGAGCTTCGGAGTCTTGAAATGGCTAATTTCTTCTTACGATATCTATCGACAATTTGAGTGTGTATAATCTTATTATTATGATAATACTTGACTAGTTTTCCTAATCCGTAATTTAGTAATAAGTCTCAAAGTGATATACGTCAATGTCTTGAACAATAAAGCTGAATTGCTGGCTATAATCCTGACATCATACTAAAGTCATGAAGTGGATTGGGAGAGCTCCAGTGTAAGCTCCCCACGATTCCCCGGGGCGGCTAGTTGTTACTGTTAGTGCCTTTTGTATTAGATAATCAGACACTAGGACTAACATCTACGTATGTGTCTTAGTAAGGCCACTGCATGAAGGCAGCTTATGCGCGTGTGCCTTATTCCCATGGTTCAGTTAAGACATTTCGAGATTGGTATCTTGGTAGCTACCTAGCTTACATAAGTTGATACTTGATAATGGATAAGTTTTAGCTATGTTGTTTACATACGTCATCAAGTTGATTATAGCAGTTTCAGAGGAGCAATCTCGGCGTATTGCACGGCAGCTCTGTTAAAGGGTCACATCCTTTTTCGAGAATTTGTTATATATTAGGTACCTAGACTGTAAATCGTGTAGGCTAACCGGGGACTATCTATTCCTAGGTGCAGAATAAGGCAACATCTTAGTAATACTAATGGTAGCCTGCTAATACAAATATGGGAGAAATGCGACCGAAAGTATGTTCAAGAGGAACAAATTTCTTCAAGTCGTATAATTCGACGGGCTACGAGTAGATAAACGGGTATAGTTGGGTTTAAGGTTCTGATGTATGAGGAATTTTAGATCCAAAAATAGACTTATCTAACCTTATATGGAGACGGTTGGCTAGATCGTATATCTTAGGTACCCGCAGGATTAGCGCCTAGTTAGTACTAGTATTTTGTAACACCTTTAATGTTGTATTAATTAAGCTAGCTATTACTTGGATAGTCATGTAATACGGAAATGTTAATTCTGTCAATTATGATGAATTTTTAAGGCTTTGCACTAGAATTCGATCTGTTTGATCTACAGTTCTAGGTGATAATAAAGTTGTTTCGATCGAGCCTTTCCTCTAACCGGGGTTACTGCACCCATGCCTTGGATTGTACATGAGTGGACGTGCTTGCGGAGAAAGCCCACATATGACATAGGTATGTACATGAGATAGGTACATTAGGGTACACTATCTCAAGACCTACCAAGATGTGATATGTGAAGACGCAAGTACCCGAGGTGATTTGGTACAAAGCATGTGGCTGGTCAATATTAAGCACTATCGAAGCACTTTCCCGAATGTAATATATATTCTCCTTTTGTAATAATACAAACAAAGCTTAGACTTGTATACGATGCACTCCCAATAACTCTCTTACCATTTTGGTCGATATATCTGTTCGGATTAGTTAGGTGCAACCAGAAGTGTACATGAGACCTATCTTTTATAAGGCCATTATGGTTTCAGCTGGGTTTAGGCTTAATAACGGGATACAGCACCCAATATCCATTGCATCGCCTAAATTAGGTAGTTGCGAAACAAGGCTAGGCTTGGTAACATGTTCAGAGGAGAGCTGACTGCTGCGCAAGCCTTGGTTAGTAGGTAGGTACCTAATATGCCCATAATATATGCCCATAATATATGCCGGTACCACTTACCTACAGCGTATTACGGCGTACATGGGAACGTACAAGGGACATGGGGGTACATTACACACCTTATTACTTGCCTGCCCGCATTGCTAAACTATTGCTACCAATTGTTACTCCGCCTCCCCCAATCGTCCCCAATCGTCCCCCATCATCTCCTATCACAAGGATCACAAGGAGGCGCGCGCGCAAAGGCGACAAGGTCTACAATTACAATATTCTATCTTACCCCAGCGTTAATCTGCCGCGTCACCTCCCATTTTCTTTGTCACACGTCTTCATTTCTATTCTTATTGGTTCCCCGCTCGATCTGCTTCAACTTTTGTGCAATACTACAGGCCGAGACAAGTCGTTCATGAGAAACGATAATCCTGTTCCCCTTTCTGTTCGGATGCGACCATACCAAATAAAAAAATAAACTTCTGCTGAACCATGGCGTAGCACTACCATCCTAAAATATCGCGACGTTCTCACTTATAACTTCTTGACCTTGGCGTCATTCGTAGCACTCTGTCATGTCTGCTGAAACCCAAACGTCCGGTATGGACGAGAAGCCAAGTGTTGCCAGCGGCAAGCTCTCGCCTTCAGCCTTTGATAAGCTTCCCGATGAGATTATAGAACAGTAGGTTGATGCTACTATTAGCTACATCGATTATTGACAGCTGACATGTTGCTTAACTCAGAATACTTCAATTGACCGACCCTGACTCTTTCGCGTCTCTCGTCCTCCTTAATTCAAAATGGAGGCGTGTTTCCCAGCAAGCCCATCTCTACGCACATCATCTCCTACGATGCGAATCCTATGGCGCCAGTCACACCGTCGTACCTGTCGCAAAGTCGGATGATGATAACTTACCTAATCTGCGCCGCCTATTCGCCCGAGAAGTCAAGAGAAACCTTTTTGAGGCTTACCTGCGCCCTAAGACAACTACGATAAGGCTGATCTCAAACTGTATCGGATCGTCCTCTGCCCCTGGTGGCGAAGGAATGCAATTCAGTTCGTCTCCTAGGGGTCATCATCTACTCGCGTATAATTCGTCCCGAATATTTGTTCTAGATGTTAGAGAACTCGAACTGGCTGTTAAGCGGGAGTTTAAAATATTACGCCGCCCGGCAGCCGCATGCATTTTGGATGATGGTAGTCTCTTAGCAGTATTATCGACTGATATGCAGGTTGATTTATATGACCTGGGAAAAGTTCCACCTCGCCGAACCCAGTCGCTGATCTTGGACCATTCTCCCCGTGCCATTGCCCTGTCTCCATGTGGGAGTGTGCTAGCAGCCGCATACGAAGGCGGCATTGAAGTGTCTTCTATAAGCCCTGGGGCTCTTCCAACTGATCGAAGGGCAGTGAAATGTGATGGTGTCGATTCCCTCGCCTTTTCGTTCGATGGAACACAGCTTTTAGGCACAACGACAACTTCCTACACACCTAATACGGTTATCTTGACAGCTCCGTATTATGATCCCGGAAATCAAATGTCTGAAGAAAATAACATTAGTGCACTGTGGACTACTTCTATTCTATTTCCTAATACGAGCCGGGACTGTAGTCATGCTGCCCTACTGCAAGAGTCAGGTTCTATGGAGGCAACTTGGGCGTTTGCTTATGACAGAAGTTTTGAGACTTTTCGCGCCGTGCGGATTGATGACCTTCGCAATGGCACAACTTATTTCACAGGGCCGGTCCCAAATACTCCTTCGCCTGGACCCTTGTTACCATGTACCCTACCTGCTGCCAATTATCAAGGAGACCTCGTCTCGGCTGGATTTGAAGGGAAAGATGTCTGGTTGTACGGTGTGCCCGAAGACCTAGAAGCAGTTCCGGAAGGCAACCATGCGGCATCCGATCTAAATGGACCGCCATCATTAAACCGTATGAATAGCGGAGTCTCGGCACGCTCGTCCACTCGAGTACAGGAGGCGAATGGTAGTCGGGTTCCGCAGTGGCAGATTTTATGCGACAAGTATCGCAACACGTTCGTGTGCGGGCGCAAAATTACACAATTATGTGGTGTGAGCCATTTGAAATGGGTATCCGGCTTTGGCGATATGTCTTCGCAAGAACGATTGATTATTGCTGCTCGAGGTGTGATGCCCCCTAAACTTGTAACTGAGGAAGATGGCATCGACTTCGTGGATGGAGGGAGAATCACAATCCTTGATTTCGACTACAGTTTGGTAGATGGCGAAGAAAAGGAAATCACCATTGAGGTTGGCGCAAACGAACCGGAAGCACTAGAAGAAGAGCATCGCGACATCGATACAGAAGTAGCTATCGTTAGGCGGAGAACGGTGGCGCAGCGGAGAGGGAACCGGGCCAGTGTGATGACTATGGCAACGACTACGTCTCGTCAAGTTGATGTATTATTACGTCCGTCGACGGCTCATAATGATGATTCGGAGGATCCGCTAGTACCACGACCTATGGCCACGGCACGTACTAATTCTCACGCAGCGGCGATTGAAGAAACAGAAGATGTCTCTCTCGAGGAGGCCCAAGAAGCACTCGATGCTCCATATGCTCATGCCAATCCACGATCTGGAACAACGCTACGCCGCGCTGCAACTGCGGCAGCAGTGAATCGCCGACGGAACCCGCAGCCTGTGGCTGGTCGAGTTGAGTATCGACGCGCTGATGGAAGGGCTGAGCATCCTCACGAAAGTGATGCTGATAACTGGGTACCTCCTCCACCACCATATACTAAGGAGGACCCTGGTGATTTACCCGATTTCATGCGTCACTCTGTACACCACTCCGTTATTCCCGGTGTTGGAATCCTACCGGGTAGCAGGAGAGACTCTATTCCCCCTGTTCCTCCTCTTCCATCTTCTATCCCACCAATTCCGCCGATCCCGTCCGCTCCATCTAACCTACCTCCGCGAATGTCCATGACGCCTAATTTTAGCCGTCCAGAGTTACCTCGTCTACAGACAACTCCTCTACGGGACAGGTCGTCCCACATGTCTTGGCACCCTCACGCTTCGCAGCAAAGGGTCGCAGATACCTCTATAAATGCCAGTCGATCTGCTGGGCCTGCTGGGGTGCATTCTTACAGACCTGTGTCAGCTCATTCTTTCACGCAAGAACGCCGGCCCCACGTGGATGATGAATATGACGATATTTACGATGTATCTCCCGTTGGATCTCCTTCCAGGGCTACAAGCTCCCACGTATCTGAGGGCCCAGCTACGGTAAATGTAACGCCGGAGCGGCGTAGTCCATACCAAATGTCAGCGGCAGCGCAGTCCTCAGCTACTGAATACACACCTGCCTCGTCTGGATCGCATCAAGTCGTAGGAGGCTCCCGTCCAGGGTCGGCAATTCCTCATCCTCTCGATCCCACCACCCCGTCATCTATGACGAACGTCCCGGGATGGAATAACGAGCAGGCTAGCAACAGCCCAGTTGTGGGCACGCTTCCAAGTGCTCATACTTGGCCAAGGGCCCCGCCACGACCCGATACAGCTTCTTCGGCTTCTTTTACCGGATATCCCCGCTCTGCTCCGGCAACGGATCGGACCAACGAGGATATTATAGCTGCAGCTCTACCTCCAACGCCATACTCGGAACGAACGACACGTTTGCATAGTAGGCAGAATAGTTCTGATGTGTCACGTCCTATGTCGAGCGGTTTCCACCTACCGCGCGTACCTGTAGGTAGCCGAGGTGGCCAATTCCGGGAACTTCGACGAGGTAGCGTACCTACTATACAGCCAGCATCAGAGCCGGCCCAGCCACTTATAATTAGCACGCCCACGGGTGTAACTGGTGCATTTGATGCTCCCGGCCGGCTAGATGTAGGTAGACAACAGGCGGGACCAGTCTTGCATGCGCCAGTTCCTCGCCATCCCCGACCAATATCAGGAGCACATTTACTGCGTCCCACTGTCGAGCGCCTAGAAACAATCTCTAGCGTTGCCAATGGAGAACCGCACCTACTTCCACCGCCACCTCCTTCTTCACAGCTTACCTCAACATCACTGCGCCATCATACTAGTTTAAATCGCCGACAAAGTCGGGCTAGGAGGGGAGCATTAAAGAATATACAGGATGCTAAGCTCCGAGGATGGACGGGACGAAAGAAGAATAAGAAAAAGGACGATACTGATGGTTGGATGGATGTGACTTGGGCAACTGCCATCCCGAGAGGCCAGGGTAAAGATAAAAAATGTATCGTGATGTAGAAGAAAAAGGGAATTGGATATGCAACAAGATGTTGGCGTACGAGTATCACAACATACCAGACATTGGATTGGATTTAGCGCCAGAGCCCACTCGATTGGCTCTTAGTTTTTCGGATAACTAAAAATCTTACTACCACTCCCATGCCCATGCGGGCTAAAAAGGAGAAGGGGACTATTTCGTTTCGGACGAATATATCGGTTCGTCTTTAGGACAAGTGGCTGGCGTATGGATTTCACTCGCTCGAACTTGGGTTGAACGTTGGGGATATAAAGAGCGATACGTGTGTATGATACCAAAAATCCATCAAACATACCTTCCTAGGTACCTACCTATATATGTAGACCTGCCTATGGTAGGTTTTTATTTTCATTCTAGTGTATTCTGGATACGTATAGGTACCTACCTATATAGGTAAATAACCCTTACTATCTGGAGCTACGCGTGTTCCGACGGAAATATATCTAGGGCCGTGTTTACGAGAGCATTCGTCATACATACCGGTGATTCATAACGATATTATTTGTGCTGTATTAGATGCGTAGGTACTTTTAAAACGCATGGTTCCAATGATCTATCTATGCATGTTAAGCTCTTTCAAATTTCTGCCTTTCCCTTGAACTAGCTAGTTAGCCTTTCGCAGCTCCTTCTATTATGAGGCGTTCGGTTTGAATAAACCCTTGATAATGGCCTTGAAGCGAGGTGTATTACAAGACACATGACTTGATAGCTATATGTACCTAACCTAGGTATTATAGGTACCTAGATACCATCGCATCCCTCGACCGCCGAGCAGCCCAGTCCATCCCGATAAGCTTACGCTCTAAGCACGAGGGCGCCATCCCTCCTTCGGCCATCTTATAGGTCAAGGGCAAGGGTGATATAGAAACTACATCACTGCCTAGGTATGTATGTTACCTCCATCGTTAGGGTAGTCACAATAGACAGGGTAGTAGGTAGTTTTAGAGTAAGATTGGATTAGGGGGTATTCCACTGTGCAAAACGCACACCAAGCAGAGTATGCTTCATATACCAATAGTAACGCCAAACTGTACTCCCTCAAAACCGTTGATACCAACGCCGTAGGCCATGCAGAACACGTGCGTAAGGGACCCATGTATAGATGGACCCTCGTAATCGTGTCTTAGGGCTAAAATATAGCTTGGTGTGTGTTATAGAAACAATAAGACGAGGATGATATTCAGGCTAGAGCCGATATCCCTCAGTATCTCTCGGGTTTGGAATTTCATCTGAATCGGTGGCAATCCGAGTAGCTCAGAATTCCATATCTATCATAGCCACGTCCTCGTCGGCAAGTGAGCTCAGGCCCGAGCTAGGCGGCCTTGACTCGATGTCGATAGTTTCGGGTTCGGGGGGGCGCTGCGACGTCTCGTGCATCTTACGCGCCCAGGCGTGTATGCTGCTCTCACTCCCGCCTTCTGGGACGACCTCGCCTTCGACGATGCCTCGGCCTAAGATTGTACCCGCGTACTTAGAGTCTTGGTCCGTCTTATTGTGCTTCCTCTTCAGCGCTGCGATTCGTATTTGTTAGCATAAAGCACGATATATACGAGGTCTGTGTAGAACATACCACTCAAGTAGTCTGTCTCGCGCTGTTCCTCTACTCCTTCTTCACCAACATCGCCGGCAGCTGGTTTATCCAGAGCCGCGACCATGCGAATCCTCCGGTTCTTGCTCCCCTTAGCCCAACGTATGAATTCATCAATCCCTCTCATATCCTCCTCTCCGCTCACTTCTTGGGCCGTGAAGTCGCGTTCTGGCCACAGAGCGCCGCAGTCTTCGAGAGCGAGGCGCACATCGACTATGTCGGGAAGGCCTGGCACGCCCACCTCGTTGTTAAGTGCCGCATGCTGCGCGGTGCTTCGCGAGATTGCAGTAAGGTAGTTCGCAGCGAGCTCGGTCAGCGCGTCAACTGTGCTGGGAGTCGATGAGTAGTAGCCCTGTGCGCGGAGGATCTGTAGGATAGCTGGACGTAGCAGAGCGTGGTGGATCTCGGAGGCGGTGGGCGCGCGGTGGACTTGCTGAGCGTATGACGACATTGCGAATATCTCCTTTTATCTGATATCGTGAGGCACGGCCGTCAAGAGTGTTGGATGGGGCGAGTTTCGTCGCCCCGTCCAGGATTATCTGGTCGTAGGAAGCCGGACGTTTGGAAGCGCGCGTTGGGAACACTAGGGTAAGGATTGACCGAGGAGGTCGTATCGAAGATCTTTACAGGGTGTAAGCTTTCTTTCAAATCGACAATGGTGGACTTCGTACATTAACTTGGATTGATTTGTCAATCGTAGGGAGGCCTGGCTCAGTATGACTGGCCAATAATGTAGTACTAGTACTTGATCTCAAAGTAGCAACAGTGTGACCAGATTGGGATTGAGGTTTTCGCCGATTCGTCTAGTAATGTCGAATTATAGAAACGCCCGTCGAACTAGACGTATTGTAGAGGGTACACAACGGGAATAAGAACCAGCCGCGAAAAGATATGCGTGAGCTAGGAGTCTAAGAGGTACTTTGATTTGGGAGGACCGAAGATGGCGTTTGAGTGGTTGTTCTCGAGAAAAGGTAGTGTACAGTCGAGCTTGGAGCTTGGAACTTGAATAGATGCCAATTCGAGGGAAACCGAGAGAATATATCGAGTAACTTTTTTACTAGCCGTATTCAAACGATCCTGACTGATTCTCCATCTGATCAGCAAGTCCTAGCAGTAGTTGCCGACCCGTTGCGCCATATCAGCCAACATCCGTACTACCTATCTAAAAGTTGCACATTCTTTAGAATTGAAGCTAGAAGCTAGGAGAGAATTGCTTATTACTTAAAGGTTTGAGGGAGAGCAACCTGCCAGCCTGCCCGCCCTGCAAGAGCAAAGCTAAAGAGGTTCCACTTTGACCCACACGTACCAAAAGCCAGGCACCTGAGGCGGGCGCTAACTTTACCTTCGTTTGTTTCCAGTACCGTGTACGAAGTACGTATAAGGTAGGTACGCGGTACCTATCTTTTCAGGTCGTACTTCCAACTCACGGCCCCACCATCTGTATGTGCGCGGCGCAAGTCCCGATTCAATGTCACCTCTTCATTACATATACCTTATGTAACAAAAGCATCTACCGGCTACCTTCTAGATGCTGGTTTGGTCCATAGCATAGAGGGTTAAATCTTATCATCCGAGAGTCTAACGACATAGTTATTCCTTTCGCCTATCCAAGTACACTTTTCATCATGTCGTCTATCAACGTAAAGCCGACCCTCAAGCTCGACACGTCGCAGCAGATGCCGCCTCCGTCGAACCCTGAAAACCCAAGACCTATCCTAAAGCTCAATACAGCATCGCGACAACCTTCATTCAGCGGCGATGTTGGCACCCCTACGCCATCTGGAGAGAGTCGGAAAATAAAGATCAAGATCAGTAGTCAACCGACCACACCAGCCGCTACACCCATCGCCCAGACACCGACCTTAACCAAGTCCAAAGCCGGTAGAACGTCCAAGCCAACTCAGAAGCTTGTTGAGTCGAAGAAGCGCCCGTATGATAGCGATGAAGATCGGCCATTGTCTGTCACTCGACATGAATCGAACCGGCCTAGCAAAACAATTAAGATTAGACCGACCATATCGAAGCCAGACCGCGCATCAAATGTGGTGTCAACGCCTATTAGCACCATCAAGTTCAAGCCTAGAGGCGAACCTGTTCAACATCATCCTGGAGATGCTTACGACTCCGAAGCAAGCGACCGCGAGGTTGATCCTGTCCGGGAAACTACATTTATTCTTCGCGTCATGCCAGGAGCCGCGACAGAGTACTTGAAAAAGGCGTTGGCTGAAGGCACTATCGGTTTGCCCAAGCATAACGGAGGCGCGGATTTTGGTGTTCAATTTCTCGATGCTAAGCAGCGACGAGCTATGGTCACCATCGACGGAACCCACTATGCGGCAGTTCTTGTCCAGCTACCAACCATTACGGAGGCGATGAAGTCTTGGGATCGCAAAAACATGATGAAGAACTCTGATATTGTCGAGATGCTTCTATGTTTTGCAACCGTTAAGAGCGAGACTGAAGCCAAGACGATCCCGCTTCCACCTATGGCTGCTAAGAACGACTATAAGTGGCCTCACGGTCTTACTCCTCCCATGCACGATGCTGTCCATCGACGATTTAGAAAGACTGTATCAGAGAAGCAGTGGCAGAGTACTGCTACTCAAGTAGCCAAACTGCTCGAGGATGACGCAAACGCCTTAGAATCCTACACCGAACTCATCTACAATGAGGACGACGACTCCGGAGATTCCGACGACTCCGGAGAAGATGCTGAAGGTGAAACTGAGCAGGACTATTTTGGAGACCATGCTGGTGTGCAGGACGATATGGAAGAGGATGCTGAAGACGATGAGATGTTGGCAGCCATGGAAGCTGAGCTCGCAGAGAGCGGAATGCATCATGAAGAGCCTGCAGCGACCACGCCAGCCATGCAGCCAGAGGCACAAACTCCTATGACAATCGAAGGGAATACTCCCGCGGCCATGCAGGAGATCATATCAGAAGAAGATGAAGATGACGACGACGACGATGAAGATATGGAGGATGGTGAAGACGACGATGTCGACGAGGAGCAGTTGGTGGCGGAGCGAGAACGCAAGGAAAAGCTCGACGAGATCGAGCATCTAAAGAAGTCACTCGACGAGACCCTACGCCAACTTTCTGAAGTCACCGCACCAATCTTGAAGAAGCGTGTCCTTCTCACAAAGGCCAACCTCGAAAAGGAGATTGCCGTCAAGAAAGCTGCGCTGGGCTTAACGGACGAAGATTAAAGGCTAGAACGCATAATAACGCATAATATAGAATGCGTGTGCTGGAAAATAGGGGAAGATGGGATCCCAATTTCGCTTGGTCCTTTCTCAGGCGTTGACGTCTACTTGACGAAAAGGAAAATGGCATTGTAAGACTAGAATACGGCTCGGAACGATACCCCTTAGTGCTACATAGGCAAGGTAGCTTGAATACTCAATTAATCAGTTAATTACTCTTTGCTTATTGCCCTATGGTTTGTGACGGCGAAGATTCGATATACATGGCGTTGAACTGTCTGTTACAGTAAATAGTGTCTGTCCTTTGGTATATTTTATTTGTATACAGGTCTAGTGGCGTATAGTACATACATCTCGGGCAGAAAAGCGACGCAGCGTTCAGCTCCGCTATCCGCGTGAACTCGCTCGTCTGTCGTTTCCCCCTTCCTCGCCCATTTTTTATCATAAGGGGCACTCCGAAGTAGAGTTCGTAGGTTACAATCCAGACCACACCGTAAGCCATAGATTACATGCTCTTGAGGTAATTGCTCTCCTTGATCTTGGCCCTCCGCTCCTTGCGCATAGCCTTGCGCAGATCCTCTCTCGCTTGCTGCGCCGCGACGGCGCCCACTGTCGTGCCCTCTTCGTTGGCGGGCAAGTTGATACTCTGGTGCTGTAGTGGGATCTTGGGCGCCAGGGCTTCGAGGTTGCCCTCGGCTAGGAGACGGGCTTCTATGGTTCGTTGTCGCTTGGCGGCTAGACGTCGCTGTTTCTTGGATTTTGCTGGAAGGGGGTTAGTGGGGTGTCTGGGATTTTAGGTGCTTGGATATATATATAGGATGTGTATAGGTTAAGGTAGGGTAAGGGGAAGCAAGAGCAACGTGGAAAAAAGGAAGGGGGATGCTTACAGAATTCATCACCGGCATCGTCGTCAGCCTCCTCGTCCGCCTTCTTTTGCACCTCTAGACACTTCCACAGCCACGCCGGATACGCATCGTCGGCCAGCGCAACAGGATCTGTCCGGTTTTTGAAGTAATTAAGGCCCGTCATTACGGTTCCCTCCGGACAAGCTGACAGCGCAGGCTTTTCCTCGGTGGCGACGTCGGCTAGCGGCGTGCTGAACACGGGCGATCCGCTCGTAGACGGGGAGGGTGGTTCGGGAGCGGGAGAAGACGTCCGGCGCGCTATCGTGCTGGAGAACGGCCGTAGGAACGGGGCCGGGGTTCTAATAGGTACGCGCGAGCTGAGCGCCGAGGCTCGCTGGAGACACCGTTGGCAGATCATGGCGAATGCTGCTGGCTGCTAACTTGCGTGGGATTGCGCAGGCGCTGGTGGGATAAGGGTATGGATTTTAGAGTACGAATTATCGAAGCTCCAGAAATTTTGTAAGGGTCGGAGCTTTAGGTTAGTTTTCGCCGATGGCAATTGGCAATTGGCAATTGGAGCAGGTGGCTACGGACCCGGTTATGATAGGGATAAGAACCTCAATTAACAACCGCTCTGCCGCTTTACAGGTATGAGCTAATTAGGTAGGTAGATATCTTAAGTGCAAGTAACTGAGTTCCTTGCTTTTTACATCATTGGGCGGGATTTATGTCGTTTTCACATTGAGATTGCTGCTGAATAGGTATGTACAATACACGGGTTACCGCGGACGGACAAGTGACCGCATCGCACCGGATACACCTTCATGTAAAGAGCTCTGTTCAAAGCAGTCCTCGTACCCCATGCATTCTCATCACAATGTAATTTATGCCATTGATAACCGTAGAACTCATCTTGCCTTTCTTTTTCTCCGTCTACGAAGTCTTCGAGATGTAGTTCTGTTGTTCGAATAGGTAACCCCGTACCCGGTGGTCCTTGAGCATCTGGAGGTATTTCTCTATTGTCTTGTTAGTCTCATAGCTACAAGCAAACCCGGTGCTCTCCTTTCAAAATAAATATCCCTAGTATCCCGTGATGATATATCGGAATGCTCATCCAAAGCCTATAGAGCCTCTAAGAAAGGCGACGAATCTAACTAACCTCGTAGAGCACCGCACTTCTCCAGGTGGTTAACACCCTCTCGGTAATAGCATTTGCCCAGCTCCTCTCGGATCAATCGTCCCATCATGACCTGCACCCACTGCTCTCGGATGATGGCATCTTGCGCCTGCTTCAATCGCTTGTTGTCGTCGTAGTCAACACCGTCGAAGGTGGGAGGGACGGTCGGCTTCTTCGCCAGGAAAGCTTCGGATTCGGGGGTCGGCATTTTGGTTACGAAGGATTCAATCCGCGATTAATTAGTGGTTAGGAAGAGAGCTCTAAGTTGCGGTGGTTCAACACTGTCGCATGCGGTTGAATCTCCAATCTCCGTTATTTCGTAATGGAGCTTCCATCCAGTCAGCAATCAAGCAATTCCAACATGCTACATAATATAACCACGTGACTTATTGATAAAAGTTGTACTTCGTAGGTACCTACGTACTTAAGTATCTACATAGGTACAGAGGTACAGCGCTACTTCCGTGAACTAGCGTGAACGACCTAATGTGGTTTGTTGGGCCGTGCTATCACAAAACTTGAATCAAGCTATCACGCAAGCTAGGGCTTACCGCCTGCATATGCCCCACCGGCAGAATGAAATTTTCCTCTGGTCCCTCGAATTTTTTTTAGAGAGCTACCAACCACGCCTTCTCCTACAGGATATAATACAGCTCCCAATCCATTTCTTCCAACAATCCTTTCTTCCCAACTCCAACATTTCACGTCGAAGACGATTATCTTAAACAATACCCCAATCTCTTCACTTATATTCGACAATGGGCAAGGTCAAGCAAGCAAACGGCAAAGCCGCGAAGGCTTCCAAGCCCCTCAGTGCTGTCAAGAATGCCGGCGTTACCAAGGCCACCGACAGCCCAAAGGCTAAGTCCAAGCAGATTGCTAAGGATGTCGCCTCAAAGGCCGTGAAGGGCAAGGATCTTAAGAAGAAGAAGAAGGTCGAGTCCGAGTCCGAGGACTCCGAGTCTGACTCTGACTCCAACGATTCTGAATCTGATGATGCTTCCGGCTCTTCGGATGAAGACTCTGACGACTCTACTTCCGAGTCTGAGGAGAAGCCTGCTGCAAAGGCTAAGGCTAGCGGCAAGGCTGCTAAGCCCGTTGCCAATGGCAAGACCAACGGCAAGGCCAAAGCTAAGGCCGCCAAGTCCGAGTCAGAAGACTCATCCGATTCCGACGAGGACAGCGACGACAGCGACGATGCTGCTGACGCTAAGCCTACTGCAGACAAGGCTAAGGCTAAGAAAGAGGTATGCCAATTCTCAAAACATATTACATTGTGCCTAGCTAACGTGTATTCAAGTCATCGGCTAAAGACTCCGACGACTCTGATTCTTCCGACTCTTCTGATGCAGAGGAAGGTTCTGATGACTCTAGCGATGCTGAGTCCGAGGCTGAAAAGAAGCCTGAGCAGCCGAAGAAGCGTAAGGCCGAAGATGAGGCCTCTACACCCTTCAAGAAGACCAAGACAGATGAGGAGTCTGAGGAGAAGAGCTCTACTCTCTTCGTCGGAAACCTCGGTTGGGCTGTGGATGACGAGAAGCTGTACGACGCATTCAAGGATTGCGCCGACATTACAAACGCTCGTGTCGTCACTGACAAAGCCATGCAACGCTCTCGTGGTTTCGGATACGTCGACTTTGCAAACCCTGAGGCTGCTCAGGCTGCTTTCGACAAGATGAACGGCGTTGAACTTGACAACCGTCCCATGAGACTGGACCCTTCTAAGCCCCGTCCCGCTGAGGATGCTACCCCCAACGCTCGTGCCGCCGACCGTGCCCGCCAACACGGCGATGTCGCGAGCCCGGAGAGCGATACCTTATTTGTTGGCAACCTCCCGTGGGATGTTGATGAGGAGATGGTTACTGCATTCTTCGGCGAGGTCAGCGAAGTCAAGAGTGTTCGACTTCCCACCGACCCGTACGTATCCCTATCGATTTTTCATCTCCGTGCCTTGATACTAATATTAGAGTAGTGACTCCGGCAACCGCAAGGGTTTCGGTTACGTATCCTTCCAGTCAGTTGAAGATGCCAAGACCGTATATGACGCCAAGAATGGCGCTTACATCGGTGAGGGCCGAAATTCTCGCGCTGTCCGTCTTGACTTCGCCAGCCAGCGACCGCCCCGTGACGGTAACTCGGGCGGCCGTGGTGGCGGTGGCTTTGGAGGTCGTGGCGGAGGTGGCCGCGGAGGTGGCCGTGGACGCGGTGGTTTCGGCGGCCGCGGTGGTGGTGGTGGCTTCGGGGGTCGTGGCGGTGGTGGACGAGGTGGCTTTGGTTCTCGAGGTGGCGCGTCGTTCCAAGGCAAGAAGACCACTTTTTAAAGTGGCATAGCCGCACTAGGCTCTATTCTGAGGGTTCTTTGACACACATGACGGTTGGCTTTGTGGGTTCGTCGGCTTCTCCGAAACTATAAACTCCTCTGGAGTTGTGGGCTTTGAGGGCTAGGCTTCTATAAGAAGCTGTGATTTGACCTGTGGGCATGATCGGAGGGTAACCTCCATGTGGATTCTGAGGGCTTGAGGGTTCGAGGGCTTCAAACTGATAGCACAGTCGTCTGTGCTGGTGCTATATGCATCTACGTATATCGGTTTTTTATTAAGTCGGCTTTTCCTTCTGTGGGCTCTGAGGGCTTTTCAGTCAACGAAGTTGGTATGAACCTCCTTATGCTCGGGGCACGTTCCCAGCATCTGGAGGCGGATCAAGCTTCTAGACTACGAGGGCTTTATGACGGCGTTCGAGGGCATCAAAAAAGCTCTTCTCTTGCAAATGCGAATGACTTACGGTTTCTTTACGATTAAACTGACATTCTGGTCAGTCAGATCTCGGTGAGTATACTCTGCCTTGTACACCCCACAAGCTTAATAGTCACTACCCTACAGCTTCCTTAGGTTAGAAGTGAGATAATTACACCAGTTCATGAAAAGCGTAGTGTCTAACTCGGTAAATGTGAAATGTGCCCAATACCTCGTAACAGCTAGTTCAATTAAGACTAATCCAATATGTCGACGCCAAGTTGTTTGAATAATCATAGGAGTCTATCGAAGACCGTAGTCACTAACCAGCTACGCTAGTGCCTGTTCCATAAGGCCTTAGGACGTAAAGCTTTGTAACCTCAACCTATTGCTCTAAGGCATAACCCTTTGACTATTCGTAATCCCCTATCCACACCAGTAACGCCATTGGGTGCCATGGCCCTATTTATTATTCATGAGGTTTAAAGAGACTCGGCTCTTAAAGGTTACAGCCAGTTTCCTATACGAAATATTAGTAAGAGCGAAGAGGATTAATAAGGTAGGAGTGTTCACGAACCTATACGTACGCTCATATATACCCTTCGCGCTGTACTTTATTTTTTTATGAAACAGATTGTTGTTAATACTTCAGATGTTAGAGCTATCAAGAGACTTTCTTACAAGGCTAATATTACGCGGCTATGTAGGTATATACCATATTGCAATTAATGGTTGGGCGGAGGTAGTGAACTATGAGGGTTCGTTATAGTCTATAGAAAGGGTATGCCGATAGACACCCACCAGAAGTCAAGTTGGTATCATTATTAACTTCATGTATGTAGGCACTCGGGCTTTTCAAATGCATTACCACCTGTTAGTAGACAGGTACGTACCTAAGGTAGGACGTAGTTGCCTACGCACATTTCTAAGCTCGCACCTTCGTATCCGGGCACACTTGTAGCTCTTTCCTTAGGTTCCTGCCCTAAGGTGATAGGTATCTCAGGCTTGTGTGCAAGTGTTCAAATTGATTATCCGACTGTTGCTACCCTTTGTTCCTTCCAAGTCCCGATCTATTTCAATCTTTTTAATCTTCGACAGTTTGGCATCTGCCTTCCTAACTTTCAACTCTTCATCCTACAAACATATTTCAATCCTAACTTTACCTATCGCGAGGTTTACTTTCTTCAACACTTAATACTCTACTTAATAAATCATAAAGAAAGTCGGCGATCTGGCATATGAACTGAACTTCCCCCGACACTGGAAAATCCACCGAGTGATATCAGTAGCGCACTTGACACCAGCCTCTAAGGGCACAGATCCCTTTGGAAGAACAAAACCAAAACCAGGTCGAGTATTCGTGGACGGAGACACCGATGATCTTATATCCTTCGAAATAGAATCTCTATCGAAACGACGAGTAAACAAAGCAGGTGGAAACCCCGTACTAGAATATCTCGTTAGATGGAAAGGTTACGGTCCCGAAGATATTCTACAGCTTTATTCTTGGGAGTCAACATACAAATTCCCTTGGACTACCTATTGTTCACAACACGGTCCTCGAAGCAACACTTACATTAAACTTCACTACCATGCCTACCTAATCTTGACCCAGACGAGTGTCTTTGGGAAGACCTAGGACGGTTCAACGCAGAAGCCGGGGCTCGGTTGAAGCAAATCACCTGCACATTGGTTCCGGATCGATGCTTCACAGGATTCCCGCTTCTTCATGCCCAGCTACCTGTAACGGTCCTTGTCCAGACCTACCACTCATTCGGCGTTAAGGAAACCGTCATCCATTGCCTTTTACGACGAACACAATCTACCAAGCACAATATGAGTTCGGATAAGCTATTTGGCCAATATTCGCTATTCAACGTCACCCTCGCAGTCCCCTTAACACTCTTTACTGGTGCGGTGGCCGTGGTCGCCATCGTTTGCTTGGTGTTGGTTTTGATCGTTACTACTGTCTCGACCAATCTAGTTCCTTTAGTCGATGGCCAGCTTGTCGCAAAATACTTTCCTTGAAAATAACAGCTCTTCTCACTCCCGAATAACAGTAACCATTCTGGTGACTTTATCCAGACACAAGGACAACAAATACGAACGGGATGGCCAAGTGTTTGAAATTTAAAACTCTTTCGGGGACCCATAGTCATTACGATTACAACCTCAACCTTAAACAGAAAGTTTCCCTGTACACAGCAGATTCTAAAAGTGGCATTAACGGCTTAAACATAAGAAAAAAATTATTACCAATAGAAACCACTAGACGTACGTATGAACCCTTAACTATACTGACATAGATAATAACTGAGGCTACTAGGACAACGAGGAAAACCCCTACCAGCTGGATAGATATACCGAAGACATAAGAGGTGATGATAACCTTACTGTTCATATATACCGACTAGGGTGAACAATTTCGAGTCATGCAGAGACCCGGAGATGTTAGCGGTTCTGGCCCAACTGAGGAGGAAGTCCAGGCTACGATAATAGCTTCGTTTAAAGCTTTTATAGGATCTAAGGAGCTCTACGACGCCGCAACAAAGCACGTTGCAAACTACCTCGCCTCAAACAAGGAAAGAAGATCTTACGCGACGCCGCTACGAGCGAGGATGTTATCAAGGCGCTTAAAGTCCCAATCTGCACGTACACCTGTAGAGCAGCCTCGTGGTATGTGCGGCTTGGGCCAACTATCACTATGGCGGAACTCATCGCTGAACATGCAAGACTCTGACCTCGTCCGATTGCCGAGACGAAGCCTGGCTGCTTTGATAATGGGTATCGATGACCGAGATATTGTCAGTCGCTGTCTTAATCTAGAGTCCGCGTTGGCACAGTAGACAGCTTCCACGGCGAAGGAGCAGACCTCGTGATCATCGACTACACGCGTACCGAGGTAGGTTCCATTGGGATATGAAGCGATACGTCTAGACTATCGCCAACTTCTGCGCAGAGAAACATTTGAAGAAGGTTTATGCGTATGCCTCTATAAGCAATGCTCTAACCTGCTTCACTCAAAGTGTTGTCCAAGACATCTTCCCCATCAGTAACTACGTTGGTCAGCTAGGGTCATAGTGTTAGGATTCTAGATGAGACATCTGGAACAAAGGATACTATGTATGTATAGCTCAAGCTTCTATAGTTACCTAGTTTATAGTTCCCTACAAAGTAATGAAGTTATTTCCATGCTTCTTGCTTCAACTCTTACTTAACACATAATTCATACAACAACATAGTGTTTACACCTAGTTATTCGTATTATAATAGGCAAGTATTTGTAACTGGTAGGCTTAATTAAGGGCTGGACATTAGAGATTCACCCTGCTATTGCTAGGAGTGTTTGCCCGTGATGAAGGTTAGTGTGGCATGAAAATCAGCCTATTAAGTATTTACGTAGGATAATAGGGATTTATAGTATTATTACTTCTAGGCTGTGGTTATTAGCCTCGTCAGCTTATTAGAAAATAAGCTATATATGCGAGAGGTGAGATCAAAGCTGACATTAATGGGAATGATTAACATTTAATTTTCGTGATGTGAGTAACCTACCTAATATATTGTCTTTTCGCATATATGTCATATGGTTATAATCTTACTGGAAATACGTTGCCCTGGTCATTTATCTTGTATTATATGTCTCGACATTAGGCATATGTTGTGAGTTTTGACTGCTTCTTGTTAACCTTAGGTAACTTAGTTATATGAAGATAACTTGAGTGCCTTCAATGTTGGATATTGCTAAGCAAGATAGGTGATAGGCAAGACAGGGCTAGCGTGCCAAATAAGGCGTAGTGTGGATGTGCCTGACACATCTATGACCACCTGCAGTTCCTCCAGGGGGGGCTGGTGACATCTGCACTGCCCGACCCGTGATCCGATGGTATAATCTGCTATATAGAGTTTGGTATCAAACCTAGTGTTGACTCTATGTCTCGGGAATGTTTAGCACGTTTGTACTTACCTAAGTACCTATAACCTGATGCGTATATGAATAGGCAGATATATGATGGAAGATATATGAGCAGTCAGATGTTTATATCGAATGATCTCTGTTGCACAAGAGGTATCTACATAGACTTGGAAGAGTTTGGGCAAGTGCAAGTGATATGATGTAGGCTGTAGCAGCTTAAATAAATTAGTGGACCCATCTTTGTACGCGCACGTTATCGGCAAGATCTGCCAAGACGCTATTCCAAACGTGTAAGAAGTATCTACTTTCCTTCTTAGGTACTTTCCTTCTAACGGCTGGTTAGGATATCGTCATCAGCAACGATAAACGTCCCTTTCTTACCATTCAAGAGGTATTATTAGCACCCCGCCAAAATCTCATTTCATTTTCCACAAACTGGCCGATTGCGATAGCGGACTTAAGACATACCCATCCAGTGGACCTCTGTTCTATCCAAGGCAACAAGGCAATAAGACAATAAGGCAATAAGGAGAATTGGAACATTTTGGAAACAAAGACGGGCTCGTTAGGGAAACTCACTTCCCTTCTTATCATTCCACCATTCTGTCACTTGTTTCGACTCATACCCTTTTGCGTGTGACCTCGACCATTAGTACCTAGCCAGTATCATTCGTTTTAGGAACATCCCACGCGTCGACCATCCTATTATGAACCCAGATTCCTCATCCCTTGGCTCTTTTCAAATTGAATCGTCACGTTGATTCGACCTCCTGGTTTTTATTGTTCAACACCCCGAGCCTATCTTCAGACTTGGAAGCGTACGTGTGCAATACAATACAGTACAATACATAAACCCTTCTACCCTTTCTATGCATGTATTGTACAATATAATACATACCTACATACCTGGCACGAATGAACTAACGCATATCAGCGGATCCCTGCTTTAGTGAGCGCGGGGCATTTCCTTTGCTGGCTTCTTGTTGGAGACGGCAACTTGGTGCCCCCAAATCCCCCAAACCTCCCAAGTCTCTCAAGCCTCTCAAGCCTCCTAAGCTTAATCGCCGACGGTCGGTGAACAGCGCTCATCGTTAGTACCTATCATTAGTACTTGTCAATAGACTACTACTCTCGGATTCAACTGCCTAACCGTCGTTGCCCGTCATCTATCCAGGGCGTCTTTTACCTTTTTGTTATCATCTTTCCTAAGCCGTCGTGTTTTATTTTCATTTATTTTCTAAACAAGATGTCGGGCCATAACTGGCAACGTAGCAACGACTCTCGGCGGGTCGCTAATTCTGCTGCAATGCGGCCTGCATCCGACCAACAGCGCCAACGAAGCCAACGAAACGATGGTGAGTCTAACCTATTACACTGCCGTGAGCCAAACCTAACCATATCAGAATCATGGGTTGAGGTGGCCTCGCACCCTTCCTCGTCCTCCGTCTCGTCTATCGGAGACGAGATCGTCACTACGGGGCTACAAGTGGGCTCCTCTCACAACGCTCGAAGGCGACGACGTTTACATCCGCAGTCTTATGCCCGACCCAACGCTCGACAACCCACTTTTGTTGCCGCCCAGGCTGGTCAGGCTGGTCAGGCTGGTGCAAGCAGCAGTCAAGAGGAGTACGAAGAGAGCGAGAGCGAGGACGACCGAGTTTTAACCAGCTCCGCCGAGAATATTACTTCCCCTCGACCTACTGGGACCACTCCTCTGCGACACTCGGCTCAGCCCGTTGAGGATGAATCGAGTGACGACGACGACGATCGTGCGACGGCGCTGGCTCAACGCCCTTCGGAGCCGTTTCAACCTCAGCCAAATGCATTCTCGCACCCGCCTTCGCATCTGACCCACCGACACTCGGCGAGCTCGACCATGCCTCAGCATCACCGGCCGTCCTTCGGCCAGCGATCCCAGACTCGCATCGACCGCCGCGCCCCTAATTTTATGTCGCCGCACTACCAGGCTGATAACGATGCGGCACTGCGTGCCAGTTTGACGACCCTGCTTAGCTGTGCAGCAGCAGCAGGTAAGCGAACCAAGGATGGCGAAAAGCAAATGGATGAGCGTTCTCCTGCAGCCGCTGGGAACCAACCTGTGGAGCTGCGTTTCGTTCCCGAGAGCGAACTAATGGCCCCACCGCCGCCGGCCCAGACACAAGCCGGCCAGTCGTCTAGAACAAACCCACCAGCGACTACAGCTCGCGAATCGGCAGGCGAGAAGGTTAAGCGAGCGGCCACACCCACACCCGCTACAAAATCGCCGCGGGCAACCAAGAAGAAGAGGACCAATGTGGCTTCGGGCGAGGATGCTCTCATTAGCCCAACCCTTCTGACGTGGGTTGTAAGTGCCGGCGTTGTCGTTCTTGTCTCCGTCGTAGGCTTCGGGGCAGGCTACGTTATCGGAAGAGAAGTCGGTCGCCAGGAAACCCTCGGCAGTCTGGGCACCAATGCCAGCGCTGTGGCCGACGGAAGTAATTGCGGAAGAGATGTGATTAGAAGCGGCAGTGGAACTCTGAGAAGATTCCGCTGGGGCACTGCAATGGGCAGAAGCGTGGCTGCTTGAGATGCAAAGCATAGTCGGAACACGAAACTGGACTTGATATTATCGCTTTTGCATTGAGATTCGAGAAGCGGATGGATTGGCGTATTGACGTGTTACGAATCGATGACCCGCGGTTCACGACACCGTGTGCATTTTTGCGGTCGGCAACCTCATCAGTTTGACACCTGCCGGAGTAGAGTAGGACGCTGGTCTATATTATAGGTGTTGTTAAAGCTGGTTGTTTCTGATGCTTGGGGAGATGGAGATATACCGAAGTCATCCATGAGCATTGTTCTTATACCTGGTTGGAGTTGGGGTTGATATATTTGAGCGATATGACGGCTAACTAGTCGAGCGGACGTGAGTATATCGTTGACATAATCATGGAAACGATGGTGTAGCAGTTAGACTAGGACGAGTTGACATACGTTTGTTTCGTTCATGTTTGGGATCTTGCAGATGTGGCTGGGATTGACGGGTTTATGATTAGGGTATCTTTAATTGAAATGGAAACATATTTAACATAGATTCTGAATTACTGGTGAGAAGAAAAGGAAGAGAGCAGAGAAGTGACTTGAATTGGAGCTGCGACTACTTGTTGAATCTGCCTGTTCTAGAAGAAAAGGGGCATGAAATGCCAACATTGGGTAGCTATAATGGATATATAGGTGTGTATAAAGGAGGTGGGAGTTGGGTATAAGTCAAAACACAATCAGCAGTCTGAGGATATAGGTAGTAAATAGGTAGTATAGTAGTCACAGGGGCCCTGAATAATCGCGCTGCACGAGGAGAGTGCCGCCGATGCACCACCCATACTTACAATGTTACGGCTTGGCTTGGTTTAATTTTCGTAGTGTTGTGCTCAGTTACCACGTCGTACGTGGGAGCTAAGTAGCAAATATATATTTGGTCTGGCATCAGGTTGCAATATAATGCGACGAACGATAGGTATGTACATATAATTACCTACCTATGTATATATTATATTATTGGTTAGGTATGCACGACGTAGAGTAAGTAGGCGGTAGAAGTTGTCACTTTTTGATTAAGAAGGATGGTAATAGGTAGTTAGAGAGGTAGCATGTAGGTATCTAAGTATCGATAGATAGGCAAGGCAAGGTAAGGAAGGTGATTTATAGAGTCATGTCTTTCCTACATAGGATGGAGTAAGACAAGAGGACAGGAAGAATGTGAACACGCAGAGAGACCTATTTATCCATTCGTTAATACCCATCGCTTTCCTCGACTATTTCATCATCATCATCATCGTCATCATCATCGAGTATAAACGGCCCAGCCCTCCTATTTTCCCCCTTTCTCGCAGCACGCGCGCGTTTCCGAACGGGGACATCGTCCTCGCTTTCCTCGTCATCATCATCTGAATCCTTGCTCCCAGTAGGCTTTTCCGAAGTTCGTTTCTGCTTAGCGAGTTGGCTCACAGACGGGATGCTGTCGTCGGCGCTGTCCTGCGTGGCATCGAAGCGCGTAGGCTCGTAGTATAACGACTTCTTCTGCTGCTTTGCGGGACGGTTGCCGATGGTAGACGGAGTAGATGGTGATGTGGGCGATGTTGAGCGCCGGTTTCTCCGCGGCAGAGAGGAGGTTGGGGCTGGGTTGCTCGACGTCGCCATCTCGTCTGCGACGACGAAACCTACTAGGTCGGCACCGTCGTCGGAATCGTCTGTCAGATCCAGGTCGCTGGTGCGGCGGCAATCATCGCCTTCGTCGGCACTCTCGTCGTAGACTGCTGGGGCCCGCGTATTCTTTTTCGGCCGCCCGCGTGATTGTCGCGGAGCCGAAGTTTTTGATTTTGACTTAGCAGTGCGTTTCTTGGGGGGCATTGGAAGTTCTTCCACGTCTTCGCCGTCGTCAGCTTCTTCTGGGGAGTGTGCTCGAGCGCGGGGCTTCCGTTTCGCGGGCAGAGAGGTTTTCTTCGGCCGCGGTGGACGAGACGGGGCGGCTGGCAACTCCTCAACTTCGACATCTTCCTCTGAAATAGGAGATGTCATCTTTCTCTTCTTACGCGCTGGCTCATCTGCGGCGTCGCCATCTGAATCAGGTCCATAGTTTGGAAGTGGTAGTCGACGGTAACGACGCGCATCTGCTTCGTCGTACTGTTTATTGAAGCGGTCTGAAGGAGACTGTGATCTCGCAAATGTCTTGAACAACTTCACGCAACGCTTCGTGTACGCGCCATGCTTCACATGCACGGTCTTCCGTAATGTCCTTTGCGCGGTAGGATTTGCGGCTAAATCTACTTGCTCAATGTCTTCCATCGAGTCTCGGTGGTATGAGAGACTCTTGTATTTCTTATGTAACTCCTCGATTTGGTTCTTGTCGAGCAAAATTCGGTCAAGAGCCGGTATATCGACAATCTCATCCTCTTCAACTGGTACGGTTACGGGTACTTCCTTTGCCTTTTTGGGCTCTGACTTCTTCCCTAATAGCGAAGCAACACTCGTGAAGCCAGTTTCGACTCCATCAGGCATATGAAACTTCTTGGGTGGCTTCTTTTTTCGTGGCTTTCCTTTCTTGGGCTCGGGGAGACCTTCAGCCTGGGTGTTTTCCACGGGAATCTCTACAGCTCTCATATCAACTTCGGGCCGGATATCTCTTGGGACTATTCTTGTTGAGAGGTCATGACGGAAGTTGAAGCGGCTTCCATCGCATATCATGAGCTGCATCTTCTCGTAACCGTCCTTGGACTTTGCGTAGTTATCCTCCTCTTTCCCTCGCATCAGGAGTAAAACAACACGCCCCGCGCGCTTTCTTCCGGTTCGCCCCATTCTCTGAAGCATTCGAATCGGTGATGCGGACGCATCGTAGCATACGATTAGATCTACTTGACCAATATCTAGTCCTTCCTCGCCGATTGAAGTGGCGACAAGGACATTGAATTCACCTTTCTTGAATTTCTGTATTCGTTCGATCTGTTCGGCCTGTTTCATGCCCCCCGATCTTTTCGAGTCTGCTTGTCCAACGAATACTGCAGCGCGGATAAGTGGCTTGTGAATATTAAGGACCCGTACGATTTCTTCGGCGCTGTCGCGATATTCACTGAAGACTATGATTCTGGTATTCGTAGAACCGCCTTCTCGACCCTCACCTGCATCCATAAAATGGTTCAAGACTGTATCGGACAGATATGTGAGTTTTGGGTGGCTGACGAAACCATCCTTCTTCGACCAGCTGGCGATTTTATCCATCATTTCCTGGAAACTGGGAGATTCGATAATCTGCTTCTTATATTTGGAACCTTTCTCGCCCTTCCCTTCGGTTTCATCCCGGAATTGGACTAAGCTGTCATAAAACGGCTTGATGCCGTGGAAATTCAGTAGTTTGATGCCATGGGCTAGACTTGTTAAAACAGCGAAGATCGCCATGGTCATGAATTTTACCCCTTGGTTGACATGCTGTCCAGCACGAGCCATCCAATCTTTCCTGGCTTGAAGGAGGCCGTACACCGTGAGACTCATTGGGTCGCGACCATAGTAAATATTCTGTTGACTTAGCCTGTCCACGAGCGGCTTTAAGGCTTGCGAAAATAGGTCTCTGACGAAATTCATCTCATCTGACGGATCTAGCAGAACAATGTCTTCATCTCTCTGGTGAACATATTGGCGGATATCCATGGACTCCTCGGTGCGGATCTCCACATGTGAAATAGCGAGGTTGTCGATAACCTCCTGTACCGACTCAACCTTGGATCCAGGGGTTGCTGTCAGGGCAAGTATGCGAAAGCTACTAGTGAATCGTCTTAAAAAGCTGACGACTTTTACGTAGGAATAATTTCCCGTAGCCCTGTGGGCTTCGTCTACTACTAGTAAGCCGATCGACTTGGGATCTGCATACCCTGAAGATAAATCATTCTCCAACGTTTGCGGAGTCATAAAGAAGACCCTTCTAGACCCCCACTCTTCTGCTCGAAGAGCTGGCGGTATCTCTCCTGTAAGCAAGGTTGTCTGCGATCTTGGAATACCGGCAATATGGAAACAAGCGTCGACCTGCTGCGATACAAGCGGCTTGGTAGGGGCCACAAACACGATCTTGGCTGATTTCATCCAGCGAAAGTAGTTTAACATGATAGTAGCTGCAATAAACGTTTTGCCCAATCCTGTAGGGAGGGCGACGAGAGTGTTGTTGAACAGGCCATTCTTAACAATACTGAACTGATAGTCTCGAGTGGGCCCTAGGTTTGTAGGATAAACCCAGGTTTTCATGGCTTCCAAGTCTAGTTCATGATGAGTTGGCGGCTCAGGTGGTAAATCTACACGGAACGCTCGGTTTCTATTGGACTGAGAAGATCCGGGGCCAGGATCCCGTTGAATTGTTTGACCAAATAAGGTGGTCTGTCGATAGGTAGGGACTGGGTCACCAATTCGTTGTGGCTGTAGAAAGCCTGCTGGTCCCTTCTGAGACAAAGCCTGAGGATTTGCTAGTGGACTTGAGAATGCATCTGAAGGTAGGTCGTCAAGGTCAATAAAAGATTGCCCATTAGCATTTGATCGCTGCTGAAATGTGTATTAGTGCGGTCCTTCGAAATACTAAACCAAGATACTGTTAAGTAGCACCAACAACCATGATAGTCATAATATCATAACTCGAGGTTATTCATAGTCACGCCCAAGAAAATAGAAATAAAGATATCCATACCAGTGAGCTTGTGTGGATCGGATTGGTTTTGTTCCCCTGAACTGGTGGCCGTTGGACGTGGGGTTGAAATCGGCCTTGGTTGATCTTGGCAGGTTGACTACGACCTGGAACTGGCAGCTGACTGGCGGCGATGATAAGATCTTCGTCGGCAATATCGTCGTCGAATTCATCCGAATCCATCGTTTTTTTTTAATTCCTTTTTAGGTAACTATCACATAATTACCTAGGTAGGCAGACTAGAGGTGACCATTTAATGTTTAATAGGCCCTTTGTGATAGGCTCATTCTTATAGGTTCTTTGTCTGAGAGTCACTCAACATGCGTTGGGGGCTAATGTGCGTTAAACGCGTTAATGCGGGTGTAATAGGTGCGACTATAAAATAGTTGGCGTTGAAATGTCGCGAAGTCATGTGAATATTGTGGCTGTTACAATGTAATTATAGTGGCTTTATTTCGATTATCCAAGTTATGTACATTTAATACATATATTACCTAATAAATTATGTACCTATCCCCTATTGGTGCAAGCTGCCCCTACTTCTAGAAAATTGGGTTCGTGGCTGAAGCCTAGGCAGCTATGGAGTCAATCTCAACATACATATCAGTCATCCTCAGTGGTCTGTGCGCGCTAGGTATCAACCTCTGGTGTCTTGATTTCTCGTCAGCCTTTGTTTCGACGTCACAGCCTATACATCTTTCATCTTTCCCTTCTTTATCCCCCCAAAGGATGCAACGAAACTAAAGGCTTGCTCTACCATTTCTCTCGTAAAAATACCGCGAGGGAAACTATTTTTGCCTTTACTTCAATCTGTTGACTTGCTTCGCGTGGGTTCACAACTTTCGCAACTACAACAACCTTTTCTAGGCAACGCCATCCGTCCATCTGCAATTCATGGTTTGCCAGCCTTGCCTGAAGATCGTCAATTATTGACGACTTTTCCACAACCATTCATAAAGCATCATCTCTAGATCATTTACAGCCACTTCTTTTCTCCTCTGTTAGAGTAGCAACCTCCACGCCTCTTATCGCTTCTGAATCTATTTCCCTACGCAGAGTTTTCGCGGGTTTCGCTCGCTTCTCATACGACGAACAATGGCGCCCTCTGGTCCCCGAAAGGGATCTGCCCCTACTGGCCCACGCAACACCCGAGGCGGGGCAAGTGGTGCGAATGCGGCTTCCAGAGGTGGAATATCTAAGCGTCGTGGTAATACTTTAGGTAGAGTGGACAAAGATGGCGACCTCGATATGGATGCTCCCGGTGCAGCCAACCGTAACCCTCGGAAGGCGAAGCGCACCGAAGCGCACGATCCTACCACGACGCCTCGATCTACACGATCGGCACCGAACGGATCCCGCGCACCGAGACCAAACGTGAAGACGCAGCAAATAATACAACGAGTCTTCAACGGAACTGGTGGTAGCCTCTCTTCCCGCATCGCTACCGGAATGTCTGCGGGGGCTAAAGCCTTTAAAGGCACCCGCCAAGTCAACGCGCCGAATACGATGACACTCCAAGTTCAGGGTCTCAAATCCAGCAAGGCGGCCGGTAACGAAGGAGGCGGCCTCAAAGAGTTGCTGACCTTCTTGGAACGAAAAGCCCAGGCCGTCTCGAAGACTACACGAAACATAAGGATCAAGAAGGTATGTGATAGCATTCCGTCCGAGAATCTGGGGGGTTACGCAGCGACACAAATTCTCCGCATTCGTTATCATGCCGTATAGCTCGCAAAAACGAGGAGAGACAATCTTAAACCGAGCCGCATACCTATCCCGGATTCCTAGAGCATTATCAAGGTTTCATTACCTTGCTAACGTCTAGCAGTCACACATCAATGGTGACTTTGTATATATCATCACAAGCAAAGAAGACGGGGAAGAAATTCTTAAGCTGAATGGATTCGCATTTGCCGGTACAACTCTTACCATCACAGAAGCGCCGGGCGAATTGCCCCCGGCTAGCCAGAATAACATGTCCTCGACCGCTCTTGAGGTGAAAGATGCGCTTCTTAACGTCCTTAGCCTCCGATACGACGGTAGCGCGAAGCTGCTAAATCTATCTGCCCTCGGCGAAGATGCCGGGCTCAACCAGATGGGTTTCTTCAGTGGCGGGAGCAAACCCGAGAAGCTGTTTCGCGCACTAATGGCTGTTTGTGATGGGTTATTTAAGACGGCCCAGGATAAACGAGACGCTGTCGTTAGCGTCAGCCTCGCAGGCAACAACATCGATGATGTCTTTCAGATCATGTCGTTGACTGAAACCTTCCCTGACTTAGTCAACTTGGACTTGAGCCGAAACCACTTCAAGGATTTAAAGGGTCTTCAAAAGTGGCGATACCGCCTTAGGAAGCTCGAAACTCTCCTCCTGAATGACAACACCATCGAGGCGGCAAATCCCAACTACGCAGCAGAGCTAACGAACTGGTTTCCTCGACTGCAAAACCTCAGCGGCATCCAAGTTAGGACCCCGGAACAAGTCGCCGCGATGGAAGCCGCATCTCGGCCTACCCCCATCCCGCAGCACGGTGCCGACTTTCGGGATATCAATGGCATTGGCGAAGCTTTCATTAGGGAGTTCATGTCAATGTACGATGTTGATCGACATAATCTGGCGGCTAAGTACTACGACAGCGAGAGTACCTTTTCTATCGCTGTTATCAACAGTTCTCCACACCCACAGAACATTCAGACACCCGGTTGGGGCGGATATATCAAATTCTCCCGTAATCACAACAAGATCACCCATACCTCTACTAGAATACAGCGTTTATTCGTCGGAACACATCTTATCCAAAGCGCATGGCAGCAGCTACCTCCTACGCGGCACCCTGATCTACTGGCTGAATTTAACAAGTACATTGTCGATTGCCATCCTGTCCACGGTCTCCCCGATCCAGCTGGTCAAAGCCCGGTTGGTGTAGATGGAATGATCATCACCATACATGGAGAATTCGAGGATCAAGAGCCTGGTACTATGAAGACGGCCAAGCGAAGCTTCTCTCGCAATTTCGTTCTAGGCCCTGGTGCTCCGGGTAGAAATCCTATCCGCGTCATCAGCGACATGCTTTCCGTCCGAGCCTTCAATCCGCCGCCAGGTTCAACGCCGGAACTGACGGCCCAACCGGTAGTCCAACCGGTAGCGCAGCCGACAGCACAGCCGAACGCAGACTTGCAGCAACAAATGGTAATTGAGCTTTGCAAAAGAACGGGTATGACTCCGGAATACTCGAAGTTCTGTTTGGACGGGGCCAACTGGAACTTTGATCAAGCCCTCCTTATGTTCAACGAAAAAAGAGTAAGCACGTCCCGTATAGCATTGATGAAATTTGAGCTAACCAACGATGCAATAGGCGCAATTACCAGCCAACGCCTTCGTTACGACGTCTCAATAGAACTGATGACGGGGTTTAGATTAGGTTAGCTCGGAATTTTCACTCGCAGAAATGCTGCATAGGCTTAGGAGTTCATGGTTTATGAGTCTTTACGTTGTACAATGATTATGGGATCTTGCTAGGCAGGTTACGTCTGCGCGTAGCTATGTATATACAGGAAAGGAGTCAGGTCATGGCCTCAAAAAAGCGAGGTCGAAGCGGAATTCTCGAGTCTAGAGACGACTCCCTCGGTCAGACTGAGACTCCCCATACGGACACACGTGGGTGTCGAGCTCTCATTGACTACAGGTCAGAAACCGCCAGGTTCAACTACTTCTTGGCGAAGTTTCGCGCATGAAGAATAAATCAGTTAATAAGCAAATATTAAACGCGCTTATGAACATTCCCTATGTATCTCGTGAAGTAGACTAGTATCGTTGACGTAGATGGCCGCTGATGTTAATGAAATGTAAATACCTAACCCAGTTGCCCGTGATGTAACTATCGGGAAGACGCCGGGGCCAATGGATAAAGGGCAACCAATATCCATGTGCTCATTAAGACTTGATGCCGCGCGCTTTTAAGTTGGCTGGCGCTCGGAGAGAAGTAAGCGGGATTAGAATGGGAAAAAGGCATTTTAGGGTGACAATTGGTTCGTGAGGCGAAGCGATGTCTAGAAACTCTCAGTGATGTTTCGCAGCTCGGCGCTTACGAATAACGGTGGCCTGCAGCTTGCAGCCTGCAGCAGTCGTGCCTCATCTCGATAGACCCTGTGGATTTGCGTGGTCCCCGACTCCCCGGTAGAGATCCATTATGCTGCTGGAACTTGGAAGAAATCATTACGGGATGACGACATGCCTGTCCTTTTCTTTTAAATTTGGCCCCCCTCTGCGACCACTTGTCATTCCCGAAGCGCGAGAATAGTTTTATGTGGTTGTGGAGATATCATCGTCGCTAAAGTGTCTGATCAATAAAGGGACACTTCTTTTGTTATATCATAAGAGTTGGTAATTAGGATAGTGAATACACAGTAGAGTAACAGAGTAAATGCGATATTTGACTAGTACGATATGAATAGAATCCAGCATAAAGTCAGCATAGCTTTAAAGATGAGACACGGCTTCTTAGCCTAGAATAGCAGTTGTCGCATGTTCAGGGTCGTTGGGCAAACATGACAAACCACATGATATTTCTGAAGCAAACGGTTTTCTACATAGGTCAGGTACAACTCCCTTTGTCCTTCAAGACGCTATAAATTTTGACCAACTCTCAGGTATCCAACATCGTAAATGTATACTATCCACGTTGTTTAGTTGCAATGGAGAATATCTAAGCTGAAAGCAGCAGAATTCAGCGATAGTAGGTAGCTGCATGTTCAATCAGTTATTGCGCAATGCGCAATGCGCAGTAAGCAAGAGCCCTGAATTAATCGGTACATGCGATTTCCGACAAATACTACCGGATTCTTCAGTGGCCAATCGAGTGTTGCACACAAGGTGCCTGGCGCACAGCAGGCACTGCACACCATTGCATTATGAGCTCGGTACGTGGTGGGGTTAGAGTTTCACAATATGTACGCCTTCTTTTATAGGTTAGTGCCCGTTGTGTTCGAGCTCTAATAGGTAAAGCTTATTTGCAAGAAACGACGTATCCAGAGATCATGCTATGAAAGTTGGGTTCCATTGGACAATTCCATCGTTCGTTTTACCCAGTCACATTCTCACTTCTTACTGCCCCTAACCTTTTGTCCTTTTACACGAGGCGATTCAAACCTTTCCGCACGACCTAGACAGATGTATCATCTTACAATGTGTCATTTAACTAATACATATAAAGAAAACAATTACATACAACTATATTTAGATTATGAGATTTTATATACTATTACAAACTGAAATATACTGCTAAACGTGCTGAATAACCTCGACAAGAAACAGACAACCTCAGACTGAGCGAAACGATGCCAAATTGCTCGCTGGATCCTTCGCTCGAACCCATAACCACGAGAAAGTCTCTCCACCAGGTGGTCGTATGAGCAGGGGTTAAAAGAGAAGTCTACCCCTTTTTCTGCTAGCAACCACTAAACTCCATGTAGTACTGAATCCACTATGTATGGCACGCTTTACATGCCCAGCCACAGGGTGATTGCATGTACTGCAGCCCCGTTGGATCCCGTTGGGGTACATTGCAGCGCCTAACCTATTCCCCCTCTGCCAGACGTATTTTAGACGTATCTTGGTCGTTGGAGGTACCTGACGCTATCTCAATAGCTTACCATTCAATCGCTCGTCCCCTGACGATTGATATGTTCCTATTCGATCAGGATATGGGAGGTCCACAATCGCCCGGGGGGTCCTGGTCCGCTCCCCCTGTCGTATTCCCGTCCTTCTCATCCAAGTGCTCGACCGCAAACAGAGAGTGTAACTTTCTTTCGCCCTCTCATACGTTCTCTCTTTTGAGCAGCTCGCCGAAGCCTTGCTCTCTCTTGCTACTACAGCTTGCCTCTCTTTCGGGACCATCCCATCGCTGTGGTATCCTCTCCTTGTCTTCCTTCATCCTTCGCTCCACAGGATTCGCTCGTCAGCGTTTTAATCCACCAGCCGTCTAATCGTCGCCTTCCATAATCTTTCTGTAAACCTCCCCTTTTACATCTAGGCTGGCGCATGAATATTTCGATATTGCGGCACGTCTAAATAATCCATCCTACTACGGAAGTGGGTTGCACTTTTAGGCAAAGCAACTAAGCAACTAAGCAACTAAGCAACTAGACCTGCCGGAGGCGTATATTGATCCGCTAGGCTTTAGATACCTTGACAACCTGCGACACCACGTCCGTCAGGAGATAGATCGACCTTCTCCAGCTCTGTCTTCTCCATTTGACTACGGGACGGAAACATCTTTTTCTCTTAGGGAACCACCAAACTTTGTTCTGCAGATCATATTGTCCTACGTGGGCCGGCCTTCTAGCATCGAGTTAGCTTTGCTATACATCATCGTAAAGCCCTAACTAGTATCTCAGCAGTGACAGGCTTTCCTTCGGCATCGGATTACTCTAGCAGTTCTTCAAACCTAAGTCAAGCAGTTTGGTCTCTCTTCATCACCAATTTCAATACGATCAAGAGATCACTATCTGGTTTTAATAGCGTTGCATATTTGTCCCCCGACGGATGTTAGACATCGTGCTACACTTCCCTAACCAAGACACAATATCGACAGCCAACCCCAACAATTACCAGGCCCCCTTACACTCTTTTAACAGATGATCATGACCTTTTGATAAGCGACGGTAATCTGGAGGCCACTGTATTTGGTCTCATTGTCGCTCATTTATTCGGAGTCATCACATTGGGTTTGTTGGAGTTTTATATCGTACCATGTCACTTCCAGAACCGCTGTTGCCGTTAACGGGCGCCTGCAGCGTCATATTCGATAATACTTTATATTCCTACTCGGCCGCCGGACTCGAGTCGTTGAAACTGGAGGAAGGGGCAGAATGGAAAAAACTAGCCAGTGGACATTCGGTTGAGGGTGCCGTGTGTGTTGGATCGACACCAAAAGATTCCTCGAAGGCCGGGCTGTTTGTTGTTGGTGGAAAGTCGGAATCGTCCGACTACCCGGGTCTTCAGAAGTTCACCTACTCGACTAACAAATGGGAGACTATAGCCCCGGAGGTGAATGTGACGCAAAATCGGGTATACCACAGCGCGGCGTACATCAACGGCAGCGATTCGATTTTGGTCTATTCGGGATCGACTGAGGGAAAACCGGGGTTATCTTCCCAGACCTTCACAGTTGGGGCGTCTAAGCCATACTCTGTGCTGGCCTTTCAGTCTACCCTCTCCCCACCGGGAATCGCGCCAATTATTCTTCCATGGTCGGAAACACAAGCAGTCTTGATCGGTGGCAACCCGACTAATACGCGGGTGATGCTTTTTGATCCAGTTGCCTCATGGACTGACCCAGGAATAACCTTAGCAGAGCCGTTACCTAAGAATTCCACGTTGATGAAGGCTGCTATCATGGCCGGTGATGATGGTAGCAAACATCTCTATACGTTTGATATGAGCACCTCGCCGAACACGGTCAACAGGACGATGTTGTTGAATGGCAATGGTCTCCCTATAGCCGACGCGGCTCCAGCCGTAACAACCGTTTCGAGCCGCGCGTTGCGAGATAATGGTGCTGCTGTTGAGAAGCGAGCACTTACTGCGGATAACTGGCCAAAATATAACTCAACTCTGGCGCCACAAAGCATACGAAATGACTATTCCATAGCTACCGATGCGAATGGTTTAGTAGTGATATCAGGTGGGAACGATGACGAAATTTTGTGCATGTTCAATGCGAAACAGAACACTTGGGAGAACGCAACGGCCGTACTTGGGCAACAAAAAGGGTTTTTTATCGAGTCAACGCCATCAACCTCGTCATCGGCATCTTCGTCCACTCTTGCGCCCTCTACTACCTCGACTGAAGCTCCTACTACCGCCGCTCCTACTCCTGTTTCTACTACGCCCGCAGCTGAAGATATCGGACTTCCTGCGACAACTCTACTAGGTATAGTGCTTGGGACTATCTTTGGCTTCGCGATTATCTTACTGGGCTTGCTATTCTGGATCAAGCATCTTCGGAAGCGACAAAACCATGTTGATGCAGGACATGCGCGAAGAGCCAGTGGAATACCGGATGAGAAGGCTGACTTCGAACGGGAAGTTGCCAAAACTTCGGGTGGACATTTCCGAGGGCACGTTCCACAGGACTCTGTAGGTTCATTCTCATCAATGGCCATCTTGATGGGTAAGGTGCCGAAGCCTGCCGTACAGCGCAAAACGAGCGACGAGACGAAGCGCAGTTCTATCAACAGCATCTTCAGTAAGCAATTAAAGAGTACCATTAGTCGACCACAGCCTCAAACGAATCCCGAGCCGGAGTTTCTCTCGGTGGATGAAAAGGGCGTGTCCTTTGCTGCTGACGCGAACGAGCCGAAGCCGCGACCTCGACCAGCAGTAGATAATGTAGATGATACCATGAGAAGGAGCTCTGGCTGGAATCGATACTGGTCTGATGGCAGCGCGCTGTCCGACCTTGGCCTCGGGAATAGCAGCTCGCAGCGCGGAAATGGTTCCGAACCAAGTTCTTTCTACTCGGATAAAAACCGCCTAACGCAGGATTCTGTCACCGTACCAGCCTTATCTCTACCGGCCTTGCAAGTCCCGCAAAGACGACCAGAACTGAACCAAGTCAACTCGAGCAGCCCAACGATCTCGCAGCACAATCTTCATATAGAGGGAATGACCGGCCAAATAGAACGACCTATATCCAATGCATCATCCTCGGGTTATTCCAGTGGCATCCCAGCCAGTGTCCACGATACCTGGGATCCGACAACGGCGAAAAAAGCTTGGGGTGATGTGCGAGCTCCAAGTAGTACTTATAGCCAGAGTATCTATCAGACAGTTCCTGAGACTCCTGGGCCTCCTAGCACGAACAACCCCCCAACCGGTATTTCTAACCAGCCGCCATTAAATACGGCATCTAATTCGAACGACTTGAGCTGGCTGAACTTGGGAGACAACAACAACCAGCCGTTTAAATAATGCTTCGACATACGTCAAGACTGGTGTTTCCTTTCAATTGCTCATCGCATTAATGATACTCTTACGAAACCGTTCATGACCTTCGCTTATACCCATTCTCATTTAAGGAGCAAAAGTTCTGGATTCGGACTCGGAGGCTAGGCCAGAGATAGACGAGTCTTCACAACGCCCAGGGAGAGAAAAAAGGGGTCAATCGGAAAAGCGCACATTCGTTCAGACGTCATTTACCACAAGCCGCCTAGGCGCGGCCCAGCATAAACCTATGGATATATCATCTTTTACCGCCGCAACATACTTGCAAAACCCCTCTTCGCATTTGAAAGGCGCAGCCGCCGGCATTTTCAACCTTGAACATATACGATTTTATATTCGACCTTCAATAATTACAGCATGCTGTACATCGCTCGAACGTTGTGCGTCCTACTAGGGATCGGCGGCGCCATGGTACTTTCTCGACACTCGCCATCAGCAATATTCATTTACATTTTTATACTTATTTTCTCCGGCTGCCCCTTTTCATTATCCGTTCTTTTGCATGATACCACTAGACTCCGTCCCCGAGGCGATGGCGACTGGCTTTGCTCCCGACACTGTGTTCTGATCTACCTTTTTTTGTTTGTATGTTTTTTATCGATCGTACTCGAGTGCGGGAAGGTGTAAGAGGAGATGAGAAGAGAGACGTGACGCGGTGTAGTTGCGTCGTGGTTGTGTGATATAATGAGGGGGAGGTCCTTGTATCTATCTAGGTCCAAGGCGTGTATCTAACAGCCAATCTCTCTAACGCGATCTATTCCCACGGGCTTCTAAGCAAAAGAGCGAGGTCCGTGCTGTGTATAGTACTTGGATGGTAGCGGGAGAATTAATTGTACAAATTCTGACCTTGAGATTCTTGTTTCTGATACCACTTATAGACTTCTCTTCTGAGTAAATTATTCCAATAGACTTTGTAACTTATAGATTTTAAAAAATGTTAAGCTTCCTACTCTAAGCAGCTATAGATGGTGCCTGATTAATCAGGTCTGGTATTCATTCTTCCTATCTGTATAACGCCTGTCCATCATCTACCGACATGCAGTCTAGGCACGTCCTCGTCCATTACCTGTCTGTCTAGTAGGCATCAGTCCCGACATCAAGCAATAGCAGAGTCCAGCGTAGCAGCAGTGGCACGAATCAACTTTCCCATCCTAGCCCCAACTATTCCAAAACAATTTCTATCTCAAACCCGGGCGCAAATGCCGTACCCTCCTCCTCCTCCTCCTCCTCCTCCTCCTCCCGTCATGACTCGCATGCATCGTCAAAAATAAACCCAAACTAAATCAATAAATCCCAGACCCCAATCCCATAATTAGAACCCTCGACAGATACCTAGACGAATAAGCGTCGTCGTATCCGTGAAACACTAGGCCATCTTGGCCGAGTTATTTCTGCTATGCGTGCTACGCGGCACGGAGCGTGAGATGTTTCGAAACGAGCTTAGCCTAGTCTCCTAGGTCGAGAGGGGGGAAGAAACAGCGCCGCAATGAAGTTCACATGTAGATATCTATAGGTACTGCGAGATAGTGCCGGCTGTGCCTCTATAAATTGCGGGTTGGAAACGTCACCATTTACGCATAGAGCGTACGACGTAAGACAGGGAATTGGTGTGGGGGGAGAAGGTCGTCGTATCACAGGTTACATTAGGTAGGTAGACATAATAGAGTAACTAGCTCGTTTACAAAAGAGAATGCCATAAATTGATTGCACGTAGCTATCGCGTCAAGTCACAAAGTACCAATGAGCAAAGCCTAAAGCGCCAGCCAACTAAATAACTGTTCGTCCGTCTATCCCACATAGTCTCCATCTGAAACCCCTTCCATTAGTAGATAGGTCTTGGTTCCTCCCACTTCTGGTGTCGTGCGTGGGTCGCATTATCTCCCGCTCCGTTACTCGGTGAATCCACACCCGCATCCGGTCCGAATGATGTGCGTCCGCCCTTCCGTCGCCTGGCGCTATGGTCTCCAGTCATCGGGCCAATCCACTCCCAGGCCCTGCCGACCTCGCCGCTGCGTCCTTCCCGCTGGCCAGTCCGAACATTGCTGTTCTGCTCGACGACTGCCTTGACTCTCCGCCAGATCTTCTCGCGTCGCGAGAGCGAATGGACCGATCTCAGGACGTCGTCACGGAGGTTCGGGAGGAAGAGCCACGGATCATCGATGTCCTCATTTCCCAGTTGCTTCTGGTTGGCTAACCTCTCAAGCACTAGGTCAACTAAGGCCGGTACCTGAGCAGCCGCCTCGCGGTTAGCCTTGAATCGAGACTGCGCATAAATCGCTGTCACGATCAGGGCGATCACGACGCTAATATGGAATCGATATCTTGCCAGCCCGAGTCGGATTGATCTGCGGATGGCGCAGGTGATTGAAATTCGAGCGAGAGAGGTGGACGTGTAGTAGGTGTTTGGAACGCTTCCGGAATCGGATATTCTAAGGTGGCCGGAGGGACTCTGGTTAGTCAAATGGTCAGACTTCGTAACTTGTGATACAGACATCTTCCACGAGATATGCGAATAAAGTAGGAAAAGTAATTACTCAAAGATATTTTACTTACTCCTTGACTTCAACCTCCACTTCCTCTCTAGCTTTAATCTCGCCAAGCGCAGATCCCCAGAGATCCTCAAATTCTTGATTGTTCATTTTCTTGCTTCTCTTCCTATTGATAATCTCCTTCAGCTCCTGCTCCTCAATCGCCGGCGTCTCAAGCTTTGTACCTTCTTCGTCGACAGGTTCGCCGCATTCGTACTTGGCAGTTCGTTCGCGAAGCTCTTCGATCGCCTTATCTGCCACTGCCTGTACCCGTCGGACCTTGACACCGTCAGGCTCACAGGTTGGAGGAAGAGGGATCACGCCGCCTAGTGATAGAGGGTGAGGCTTGAGGAGGTAATCCTGCTCACACCGTACAGAAAAGTCGGCATAGCAATAAGCATGAGGGGGACACGGTTCGCACTCGGGCTCTAGGGCGTCTATGACAGACTGCGGGACCGTAATTTGAGCTGGTAGTACCGACTGCGCCCATTCAGGTGTTTCGATCTCATTAGGAATCGAGCTTCCAACTTGACCAACGCCGCAGTAACCTACTGCGATCTTTTCCTGTCGATACCACCCAGCGTAGACGCTTAGGAGCGTGACGACGAATATAGAAAAGATTGTGCCACCCCCAGTCTTATTTGGCCGGCGTCGGGATTGCCGAGTAGCAACAGCGTCGCGCCCATTTACGGCTTCGTCTGAGATAAGATCGAGTTGCTCTTCTGGGGTAAACTCTTCCCCGGCCTCGACTACAGGCGTCTCCGGGGTCTTTGGATATGTTTTCTGAGGTAACGGAGGATTGAAACTCATAGGCACGCCAGGTGACTCTTCTTTAGGAAGAGCGTGGCCCTCTGTTCGCCTTCGCGCGCCCCTACTAAGGCTTCGCGGTTTATCAGGTCCGGCTGTTCTTCGACGTACGCTCGGGGTGTTATCCACTGCTGGTGGGGAACTACCACTTTGGAACGGGTTGTCATTGGTGAAAACATCCGAAGTACGTCGGAAAAAGCCTTCGTTGGATTCCTCAGTCTTAATTCGAGGCGCAAGAACAGGTCGTCCGACTCTGCTGAGCGTTCTGCCATTGTCAGGCTCTGGACCGGTATCCGTATCCGAAGCCTGAACCGGGCGGCTTGTAGCCCGAGGCTTTCGTTTAGTAGGACTTGGGGTCGGCGGCGGCATTGGTTGATCTTCCGGTTCTTCCGTCTTGATTCTGGTAGGTGCTTTCCTAGGCGACCTTGATCGACGAGTGGTACGTGGAGGTGGTGCAAGTTCTTCCTGCTCCTCAAAGGGATTGCTGCTGCTTTGTGACTCTGCATCGACAATGCCTTTGCTTGAGCGCTTTGCACGTGCACGTGCAGCTAGGATTTTCTTTGACTGGGGCACAATTTGATCATTAAAAATTTCGATCAATTGTGCCTTTTTTGCGCTCGACGTATATGGAACATTGTGGGCAACTAGAATCGATCGTAGCCGGGGGACCGTAAGGGTCTTCGCATCGAAGCCCGGCTGGAGATAGTCGAGGCTCTCTGAGTCGGACATTGCGGATAGCTTATAGATAGTCACCGACTATCTTATATTAAATATTACAAGCTTGAACGGTATACGGAATAAGAAGGGCCCTTTGCGACTTTGTGATTCCGCACAGCTTTAACACCTAAACCTGATAATTGAGCGATACCCGCTAGGCGCACCAAGATATTTCTGACTTGGTGACGTAGAAGCGGAATATACCCAAGGACGCGGTTTTCGGTTAGGTACCGTTGAAAATCTAACTCGGAACGTCACCAAAGCTACTAAACTGCCACCAGCAGGTCTAGCGATGGTAGACGAAATTGGGAACACGCACGGTGGTGAAAAATATAGCGGGGGATTGATCGTGTTGATAAAAAAAAAAGAGTTGAAGAAGTGGAAATTCCGTTGCAGTGGCAACAGAAACATTAGCTACCTAGATCGTAATCTGTAATCTGTACGAAGTACTAAGCAGGTCATTCAACATTGTGTTACATTCGAGCCCCATAATTTGCCTGAGGCAGGTAGGCAGGTACCACCTAGGGCTAGGTACTTCTTCCTCGTCCAATCATACATCATAATTTCTAGGCTGCATCACCTTTTCACCCAAGCCTTATTAGGTGATATGATATGGTATAACAGGAAGAAATTGATTGGCGGAGCGATGCTCTCTTCATATGAGGTAGTGTTGACAGGCTGGTTTAAACAAACCAAATACAGAAGGTAAATAGGTAAACAAAACATCACCGACTGAGTATATCCATCTGTATTAAAATTTAAATAATTTTATAGGAGGTCATTCTATAATAAGTACATATATCATACACAGGTCTATAACAGGTTTACTGTCGTAACATAGGTATATGGCATTCGTAATATAGATACAAAACTTCTAACTCCCTCGTTAATGTTTCCCACCATGATCGTCGTAACGCTCTACTACAGCAGTAACCACTTCCTCTCATATTATAAAATGCTACTCTCCCTCAAAGTATATATGACAGTACATTTTAGCTTCATTAAGTGATAGCTAGCTAGGGACATTCATATTATATTGTTCCCGTAGAATATGTCGGCTAGCAACGTGCCTCCTAATTAGTATAGCAATCCGGTGCGCCAACGGTATAAGTAAACCGACAGATGCTAGCTTTTAGTAAATAGAGGCTCTACCTCCCGGTCCTCGCCATTCGGCCATTGTCAACTCGCTGCCGCTTTCTCCTCAAGTTTCTTCTCGGCTTCCTCTGCTCTCCTATTCGCTTCGGCTATTTCTTGTTGTAATTGTTTGATGTATACGATTGCCAACTCCACCGTGCTAGCCTTACTATTCGGCGCGCTGGATTGCTTGCCGTCCTTCTTCTCCCCACTCCCAGCCTCGCCATCGCCTTCACTTAACTCTCTAGCAACATTTGTTGGTAGTAAAGTTGCAATCTCTTGGAGTGCGGAGTTGATACGGTTTCGACGCCCTTGTTCTGCAATTTTGTGCGAAGTCCGTTTCGAAGTTAGGTTTGTGGATAGTTCGCTTGGATACGAAACTCCCGGGACGGTATTCCCTTCCAATATGTTCTGGTAATTCGATTTGGATGCTAGTAGCCTCGATGCGGAATCTTCTGCGGCTAGGCCAGGTGTCCCCGGGAGCAGCGGCTTGATACTCGGGGATATTTTCGGCCGGAGAGCTGGCGAAACAGAACTAATACTAGGCCTCTTCTTAGGACCTCTCGGAGCTATCAACGGAGTCTTTCTAGGGTTAGGGGTGGTGGATTTAGGAGTGAGCTGAGGACTCTGCGTCGCTGATGCCGTTGCCGAGCGCGTTGGCTTGGGGAGAACCGGGGACGGAAGAGACTGAAACGTAGACGTCTTTGCCGTCTCTACTTCGGTAGATAGTTCTACCGGTCGTTGAGTGTCGATCAAAGGTAAGACGGGCTTGGAGAAGTTAACCGATTCGGGAAGTTCGAAGCTTTCTATATGTTCGGAACCGCCGTGCTCGGGATTATTCGGGTCAGCCGACTTGCTCTTCGGTGATATTCTAAAAAGTGAAGCCGGAGTTGCGGGCGACGGCTTTCCGCCCAAGGAGGTAGGTAACACCAAGGGCGCCGTGCTCCCGTTAGTCTGCGGCTGAATATACGGAGATTGCCTGGCGGAACGTGGTAGAGGAAGCGGCGGAGGGGGCATCTCAAGAGCTTCCGGGGATACTGAGGCATTCTCCGATTCCTCCGTCGACACTGCCGAGACTGACTTGGGTTGTGGGGGGTGTTCTGAGCTCTCGGCTGCAGATTCGGCTAATTCACTAAGAACCTGACCATTGATTATGGGAGTCGAAGCCGTTTTCCGTCTTTGAGGTTTCGCGATCGGAGACTGTCGGACGTTCGACTTTCTCGCCTTGGTGGCATTGCTTTTGCGTACCTTCTTCGATAAATTTGCCGTGCTGCTTTGCGCTAGAGGTGGCTCGATGTCCATTTCGATGGGGGAATTCGTGGTGTGACCCGAGTGCCTATGGTCAAATGTCGACGCAGAATCATTCTGCGCATGTAGCGCAGGAGAGGTCAAGGGGCTGAAGTAGGGCCCCGACTGAGAAAATCCGGGGTCGACCGGAAAGTGAGGCTCAAGGGGCGTTACCGCAGGAGATACTAGCGGGGTGAAGGCCATCTGCTGAACGGTCAGCCAACGATATTCAAGGCTGGGGGGAAGTGACATGCATCTTGTGGCTCCTTTAGATGTTGATGGTATCCATCGAACATGCCCGAAGAGTGCGCTTGGTCTTGCGAGGCAAAAAATTGGGTTGCCGCCTGTATCTCGAGGCTTTGCGGGGTCGGCGGTACCATGTTTCTCTGCTGTTGGGCATAGAAAGCAGCTTGCTGTTCCCGAAACTGTCTCTGCTGCTCCTCTAGCTGTCTTCTTTGTTGTTGTAGCCTCTGCTGCTGCAGGAACTGTATCTGCGCATCTATCTCGGAGATAGCATCAGAGGATGTGTGGTGCGGAGGCATCATCTGGGTTGAAATCCCTGGGTGACTCGGAGCAGATGTCATGGGAGACATCTGGCTCTGCGGCCCCATATCATTTCTCGCAATAATCGTTGGTACGTTCGAGTTACTCATCGGAGTATCAATGGAATCGCCATGAGGCTGATGCATCATCGAGGCGCCATTGACACCGCTGAAGTCGTGGAAATCAAATTGCAAACCGTCTTCCAAATTAGACATGCCTCCCATCTCAAGAAATTGTTGAAAGTCATCTTCGCCGGCCGAGGACATGGGATGGTCTTGTCCATTCCAAGCGCTTGGGTCCATCATGGCCATACCTAGCAAGGGCGGCCGTCAAACCGTCGAAGGATATATATAGTCGCCGCCGCGATCAGGTTCGCAAGTTCACCGTATTTCGTTACGAGGCTACAACGTCCCAAAAATGATGCTAGCCAAACCTATTCTCATATAATCTTGCGTCGTTGCGACAGTTTTCGTTGATACTGCGATCGCGCAGCGTGAAGCGTTTCGAGGACGTGGGTCAACACATTTTTGAGAAGAACAAAACCCGCGCAGAAGATTCGATGAATTCCGTCAACGGCCCACTAGAAGGCCTCGCAAGCAGGCTATGTAGTCGCAAGCAATATTAGACTGAAGCTAACGACCAAACGTGGGAGGAAAGTTGCGGGATGATTTGTATGGAGCTTCATTTAACCCGACATGTCTGGCGAACAGGAATCAGCTCGGATTCGACACCAGATGACTTTTGACTCCCGACGGTGAACTCCAGGAAAAAGCGAGGACTAAGTAGACGAGGAGATGGTGGGGGATGGATTCGGGTAAGTTTATTGGTCGGCGACAATGACAGGGTTCCAGAGGGAGTTTACGCATTAAAACCATTAAAACGGTTAGTGCATATAGGAAAAACCAAGATGAACTTGCGCCGCGAGCAGGTGACGATCTCAGCGCCAGGCCGGGGTTACACATGCAGCTAACGCGACATCCGGTCTAGGGCCACTGTAGGGTCCAGAACTTATCCCCTCTCCCTTCTGTACTACCTACGTACCTATGTAAAGGCTTGATGAACGGTAATACAGACCCAATTCGTAAAGGGATGGAGTAAATGCATATATCTTCTGAGACACGAAGGCTACACATCTTTTTTGGAAGCATGCAAGCAATTCAAGATGTCGCCTGCCTTCAATCTATTTCATTTACCTTCGTCATATTTCACGATATGTAAGATATCACGAGCTATATATATGCAAGGGTTGTGTCACCATCCGCTAAGAGTCCAGTTGGTTGAGCAATGGGCTACCATCATCATGTCAACGTCTTTTATAAGTTTTGACAAGATCGGCTTGACTCGGTTAGGTATCTAGCTTCTGGGTCGGTCCTGATTGAAATTCGGACTATAATAGCTTAGTGTTCGAAGAGGTGAAATTTTGTAAAATTTCAGTCCGAATCCTCAACTCCACTACTCGGTCGCTCGGCTAGAAATCCCTAAGGACGTACGTAAAAGAAACGATTTTTCCCAGTTGGTCCCATCCTACTCCGTGGAGTTGGAACATCGGGGGGTTAAAAAGACCCTGTAGCCCTGTAGTCCCATGGTCTGTAGCGGATATTTATTTGGATGAAATGCCAAGTAGATCTTTCATGTTGGGTGGTAGCGGGTGAAGGGTGAATTTTCTCGTATGTAGAGTCACTTGAACTTTGCCTCTATGCATTATCTCATCCGGTGGACTTCAGCTGATGATGTCTTACGTAGAAAAGAGGCTCGTAAAATTCTGTAGTACACCCATCTCATTTTGAGGTGGGGTTCAGTGGGCGGTTGACCATCCAGAATGGGTAGGACGCCGAGAGGTAGTAGTTCGCAGAGCGGGAGATTTAATGGATGGTTTAGTGTTGGTTAATATGTAAATCCTTGACCGGATTGCTTGAATAGATCAGATCAGAGCTTGTCCTATCTCGCAAGTATTCGAAGCAAGGTTGATGCTACCCATTACGTGTATAGAAGCTCCAGCGTTGATTGATATGCAAGTTATTTGAATAACATCGTAGATAAGGTGGAAAGCAAAAGAGACGGTTAGTTCATGATACCTAGGCCAAGAGAACCACCCGCTGATGACCCGTAAGCCGGAGACCCAGAGCCCTGGGATTTGAATCGTTCACATGACATGCTGGCCGAGATTCCTATTTAGCAAGTCGATTGAAACTGGGCCTATCACAAGTCGAGAGTTAGCAAGTTTATAATCGAGCGACGAAAAGTTTTCAATTTGATCGCATCTATTTTTAGGGCTTCCCTTTAAATGCACGACATGTCTGATACCTTATGCATCTACTAGGTAGGTAGATTTCCGGTTAGGCTTAAACCTATGGGATTGGTCCGAATGGGGATTTGATACCCTCTAATCGCATTAGCTGTTCTACAGGTCACATTCTTTGCGCTGCAAGTGCTCGGGTAGCCGCATGCCATTTTTAGGTAGGACCTGGGTACCTGCACACAGCACCTTTATATATACGGAACCTTATATTCGGCGTATTTCCTCAGCCTCAACCTCGCTAGTGAGACATAGGCTGCGACATCTTAAATTCCGGTTAACGAGTAGTGATGCTATAGGCACCATGGATTCCATAACGGATAAAGCAGAGCAGCTCCGCCGCAAAATATCTCAGACGGAGAAAGAGCTTCAAGACTTGCGAAGACAACTAGAAGAACTCGAGCCAACCTCTCAGAGTCTAAATACGAATCCGCCAGAGTGGAAGTGGCCCTTGAGCGAAGAAGAATATTCTCGTTATGGCCGTCAACTTATACTGCCTACTGTCGGCATCAAAGGCCAAATACGCCTGAAGTCTGCCGCAGTACTGATAGTTGGTGCCGGGGGTTTAGGCTGTCCGGCCGCTGCGTATCTAGCTGGTGCAGGAGTTGGTACCCTTGGAGTCGTTGACGGTGATACCGTGGAAATATCAAATCTGCATCGTCAGATCGCACACAACACTTTAAGGGTTGGTATGATGAAAGTAGACAGCTTGATCGAATACTGTCGAGCACTTAATCCGGACGTGTCATATGTAGCCCATAGAGAACATCTGACGCCCCAGAATGCCGAGAATATCGCTTCCAAGTACGATCTTGTTCTCGACTGTACAGATCACCCGACATCTCGGTACTTAATTTCTGATATCTCCGTATTATTACAGAAACCACTCGTCTCCGCATCTGCCTTACGGACAGATGGGCAGTTAATTGTCCTAAACAATCCACCAGCAGCTCAAGGTACTGTGGAAGGTGGTCCATGCTACCGCTGCATCTTCCCCAAGCCACCCCCCGCCGACAGCGTAGTCAGTTGCGGCGAAGGAGGAATTCTGGGGCCGGTTGTGGGTATTATGGGCGTACTACAAGCACTCGAGGCTATTAAACTGGTCGTCGCCGGAGTTGGAAAAGACTTGAGCTCAGCACTAAAAGACCCTATCGCGCCGAGTTTGCTTTTATTTTCTGCTACCTCGACTACACCATTCCGGTCAATCAGGATGAGGAGTCGAAGGCCTAACTGCTTTGCTTGCTCCTCCGCGTCAACACTTACTCTAGGCGAGCTAAGAGCTGGTTCGTTGGATTACGTTCAGTTCTGTGGGGTGACTACGCCAGTCGCCGTGTTGAAGCCCGAAGAAAGAGTCTCCGCTACAGAGTACAGTGATATTTTGACGAAACAGCCCGATAAGAATCACTTACTACTAGATGTCCGCGAAAAGGAGCATTTTGACATTGCCAGTATACCAGGGGCGGTTAATGTGCCCTTCTCAACCTTACAGACTCGTAATAAAAAATCTACCGACGACGAGAGTTCGGGGCCAGAGTATATCCCAGAATCACTATCGCCCAATGCACCAATATATGTCATCTGCCGAGTGGGTAACGATTCCCAGTTAGTAACACGAAGGCTGAAAGAGATGGGCTTAGATGCGAATGGAGCACGCTTCGTAGGGGATATCGAAGGAGGCATGAGGGCCTGGAAACATCACGTCGACCAAACAATGCCTTTCACGTAACCGCTCAATCTCGACGACGCATATAGTTTAACGACGCCAATATAGGAATGGGGGGTTCCATTTCAAAATCATACCGATTCCTTCTGTTGATACATGGGAGGGAGAGCCACCGAACGCCAATCCGTTGATTTTTGAAGCTTTTGCTTTTTACCTGAACGTTGAGATATATTCCCTCACCAATGTGATAAGAAACTCGGAATCCTATCAGGGTATGTGTACTATGCATCTTCTCCCTTGCATGGGGCCGATCCCCGGAGACCACCTTTCCTCTCAGACGAAGCTTGTTCGCTTCTTGTTGAATGCCCTTTGGTCTTTTAACCATTGTCTGTAACCTGCCACGCTCGAGATCTTCTCGCCGTAGAAATCAGGGACTAGAAACAACAAAATAATGTCAGCGAACCTAACTTCTCCTCCATCCCAACTTAGACCTCCAAGATGAACTTACCGGCGTTACCACTCAACGAGCTGTTGCTAGGATCTACTCGGTTCTTCTTGATGCGCGCAAAGAACTCGGACTCTTTAATTTCCATCGGCTTCTTGACGCCCTTCTTGAACGTGTAGAACAGCGCAGAGCCCACGCTCGGTCCAGCCAACCACCCTAGCCCCGCGAAGCTCAGAGTCACTATACCCAGCGCAAAAAACGGGTCCATTGGGACCTTGGTCAACAGCCAGTCCATGTCCATATTTACACACAGGATAGCACCTGCCGTGCCACCTATTGCCATCGTTAAGATACCGCTGGCGAGCTGGAAGCGACGCCGCGTTTTGCGCAGGACGAAAAAGGTATTCCAATCGAGAGTTGGAGTAGAAGATTCCGAGGCGGCTTCTGCCCCAGAGGCCGTAGTGGAAGCATGACGGCGGGCAACAGCTTGGCACTGTATGCTGCGCGCAGGCTTTTTGGTGGCTGTTCGAGTTGCGATGGAAGGAATCGACTTGGTACTACGGATGGTGCATTGTCGAGATGCTAGCGAGGAGTATTGGCAGGTTGCCCCTCTCGTGAATGCGACCTGCAGCTTGAGGGCACGAGTGCCTAGAACACCAAGGCGCGTTGCTGTTGTCGCGGGAGTCAACATTTCAACGGGTTTTGTGGTAAAGCTGTTCTTCAACGCTGCATTAAATGCGTTGGAGTGGAGAGTTTTTCGTCGTTACTTGGAGAGCTTGTCGAAGCTAATGTCGAAACTTGACGTCGATTATGTTAGGTCCAAAAGACGCCTGCAGGCCTGTAAAGCTCGAGCCACAATTGAGGGGCGCTAGTTACGTAATGCGCGGATCTTCTTGGCTGCTTGGCCGTTTTGTATGATGCATATCGGATAAATGCAAATAACATATTTCTTGGTATGTGAATCTTGGGTGAATTCCAAGTTGCTATATACAGCTGGGCACGATCATAATTAATCTAAAGGAGAGTTGTTAAAATCGAAAAATGCTTAATAAATGACAAGAATCCCTGAAAAGAACTTCGAATATTCAAAACTTAATATGACCAACCTTTTCTTTAGGCATTTTGTAGACACCTATTATTAGTCTCAAGACTTTAGCACTGAGGAGGTAAATGAGAAATACCTGATTCGAGGTTTTAGAAGTGATTAATTTCTAAAAATATCGGACACTAGTTAGATCAGAAAAGAGAACAGACCTAAATGCTTCGATACGAAATCCTACGAAAAGGAGATATTTCAAGTTTTAGGAAAAGATGTGGTACGAAATCCCCATAGTGAGCACTAGATCATATATCATATTTGAGAAGAGAGATGGATTAATTTTATGATAAGTAAATGGTATGTGTGGCTCAGTGTTCTTGGTTTAGCATTGTTTTATAGACATATTTACCTATTATCGTGCTGTACCCTACTGGACTGATAGTTATTAATACAGACACAATACCGTGTGCTAAAGTAGATAAAACCGATAAATCTTAGAGATATGCAGTGATTTCCACAAAGGTAAGGTAACTAATAAATACTATTAATTTTTATGGTTGCCGTATAAGAAAGGGGTGAACGCAGATATTAGTTACAAGATTACATGACAAGGTAAGGCAGCGAAGAATTATTCCTTACTCCCAATCTGAAAATTTGAATACCATAATTTACTACACATTGGCAGGTAAGACGATAGAAGCATACACATAGCATGTCGTCACTTTTTGCGTACTGACGAGAGGTCAAACCAGCTCGCCCCGGTGATTTTTGCTTTTCCCACATCGTCAACCAGGGGTTGACTCGATCACCATCTTGCCAACTCCTAGTGTTGCTAAGACGACAGAAGGCGCATTGAAGTGCACATGCCCCAACTGTTAATCTCGCAGCCTTGGTAGTGACTTTTCATCTCGCACTTCTTTCTCCTGTACGCACAGCTACCACAGTACAAGCGTGAACTCTTCACTCTCACAAACTAAAGATCACAACAGCAATCACCACACCAGTCCCTTCGATCCACCTACGTCTCAACCATGTTGTCAGTTTTCAAGTCCGTCTTCAAGTTCGTTGGCAAGGCTGCCGTCTATGGCATCGTAGCCATCGGAGTTTGGGAGGCCTTGCTCGGATGCCCTTCAGCAAAGATGATGAACAAACTCCTTCGTGACAAAGATGCGTGGGACCCAAGGCAAGCAGAACAAGATGGCGTTTGTCAACACGTGCAAATATGGTTCATGAGCTGGTGGCATTGCGCCATTCGATCCCCTGCGAAGTACATCGCGAAGAGAGTCAAGGTTGTGGCAACTAAGGCCAAGCGATCCTACATCCGGGGCTGGATGGCTAGAAACCAAAACAACAACACCAACGCCAGCACCCCCCGCGGCGAGGAGCGGTATGATTCCGACTTTGAAGATATCCGCGTCCTGGAAGCTTATTGATTCGTAGGGTATCCCGTTTCCATGAAGAGTTGGACGGAGCAATCCATGACCTCACCACCGAGGCCAACCGCGCCTGTATCAACCAATCTCAGGAAGATGATGATGATGGGGATTGGTATTGGTGAAGTAGTTGAGAGGAGCCGGGCCAAAAATTGCTTTCGATGTTACGATCAAGACTCTTTCATTGTCATGATACGCAATTTCTACAAGGAAGACAGTCATTATCATTTCGACTGAGATTGGAAATGGTTTAAGTTAATTTTTAATCATGCATGAAGTCTACTTTAGGTAGTTGTCTTATACATCCAAATATCAGATAGGATACCCTCAGGGGTTTACTTCGAAACACGCTGCATACTTCTTTAAGAGACTAGTGGTGCTTTTTGATCCTCGACATTTGTTCTTCTGTGAATCAAAAGGAAGAGCAGTTAATAATGTGGAGTAAATGAGGGTTCAAAAGTATCTTTTTGCCTTTGATTCTTCCTCTTATGTAGAGCTCGATATGTGGAGTTGTTTGCCCTTTACCATTTTCCCACCTCTTGATAATTGTTCTACCCATAAGCTTAGTCCCTATGTTTAATATCTCCGTAGGTTGGAAGATATCTTTATAAAGTTACGATCATAACAATATTGATAACATTCGGATATTCATGTTTCTTTGTGACGCCCGTCGTTTTTATTACTCCTATTTTTTGATTCTCCTGATTATTAATATACTGAATATGATTTAATATTAACAAGAAAAGTTTACATCATGCCCGAATTTACAAAGGGTTATTATGTCGAATTTTTTCCATGGCTTAAATAAGAAAATAATTTAATAGGTAATATTTAACACGTACATCATTTTTTAAGCGATTTAATTCGGTGTATAATTTATATATATAAAGTATGGTTTAACATTTTAGCCAAAATTAATTTTAAAAATTAAAATGACTTTAATTAAATATATTATTACAATATATATAAAGTTATAAAAAAAGCGCTGTTTTTTTATAAATAAAATAAAAAAAAATAAAATAATAAAAAAAATAATGCTATATAATTTGGTAATAAATAATTAAAAATTATTTAATTAAAATACGTTAACAAAACGTTTTTTTATTTTTTATTTATAATATTATATATTTTTAAATATAAACAAATTATAATATATTATTTATTTAAAATTTAAATAGTTAAATTTTTTATATTATTTTTAATATTTAAAATAATATTTTAAACTTTTTTAAAAAATCTTTTTTATTAATATAAATGGAAATATATTAAAATTTAAATATATAAACAATATAAAAATAGTTAAAAATTAATATTTTAATTTATAAAATAAACGTTAATTAATTAAAGTATTTAATTATTTAAATAAAAAATTAAAATATATTTAATATTTTTTATATTTAATATTTTTTATATTAAATAGTAATTTATTTTATAAAATAATTTTACTTTTTTTTTTTTTTTTATATAAAATTTAATATATAATATAAAATTTATATAAAATTATATTAATGTTAAATATATTATAATATTTAATTATAATAAAATTAATAATATAATTAAAAAAAATAAAATTAAAAAAAAAATAAACTTTTAATTAATTTTATTTTTAAACCGAAAATTACTTATTTTAATTTTAAATTATAATATATAATAAATTTAAAGATTATTATTAATAAATTTTATTATTTTATTTTATTAAATAAAAGTTATATTATCGCACTTTTTTAAAAGTGGTTTAAAACCAGTTTTTTCTTTTAAAGGATTTTTTAAAAAAAATCAAAGAAAATTATTATAAATATTTAGGTATTTAAATTGGTTAATAAATAATATTTTCCAATTATTTAAACTGGTTTTAAGTAATAATAATAATATTTAATTTTTTATAAAATATAAGTAAATATAAATAAATTAATAAATAAAAAAATAATAAAATATTATAATATTATATATAAATAATTAATATTATTTTAATTAATTATTATTAATTTAATATATTATTATTTTAATATATTAATTTAATATATTACTTTGTTTTAAACTTTATTTTAATATTTTAATATTTTTTCTTTTATTATTTATTTATTTTATGTAATAATAGTTTATAATATATTAATTTTATAATATTTATTTATTTTTAAATAATCTTTTTAACTTTTTTTTAAAATTATAATATAAATTAAAAATATTATTTTTTTATTAACTATTTTAATTATATATATAATTTGTTATTAAGATTTATTTATTATAGTAAAGATATAAATTATAATTTAATTATTTATATTTATTATATTATAATTAATAATATTTAACTTATTAAAATAAAAAATAAACCGAAAAATATTATTTAATAAAACGGTAAAATGCTTAATTATGTTTATTTATTAACTTATAAAAAGCTTAATAAAAAAAAAGCTGTTATCCGTTTTAATAATAGTTATTTTATTAAATTATTTTATTTTTTTTATAATATTAAAAAAAATAATAAATTAATATATTTTTATTTTTTTTTTAAATATTAATTAATTATTTAATATATTACCTATTTATGTTAAATTTTAAATATTAGATATTTTTTTATAACGATATATTTTTTTTAAAAAAAAAATTATTTATATTTATTATAAATTTTAATATAAAATAAAATAGTAATTTTTGAAACGCGATATTAAACCGTAATAAAATTTATTAAATAATTTATTTTTTTATTTTTTTAAAACGTATTTATATAATTTTTAGTTTTAAAAGTAATTAATTTAAAATAAATTGTATAAATAAATATAATATTTTAAATATTAATTCTTTAATAAATTTAATAATATTTTGCAAAAATGTATATTATTTATAAAATAATAAAATAAAAATTATTTTATTTTTTAAATAATATAAAAATATATATTGTTTAATTAATTATATATTTAAAATATATATTAATAATTATATAAAAATAAAAAAATAATACCATAATATTAAATATTAAAAATTATATGGTATTTATTGAAAATTTTTATTTATTTATTTTGTTTAATTTATTTTTAATAAAAATATTATTATATTTTATATATTTAAAAAATATTGTTATAAATTTTTACTTTTTATAAATATTATAAAAATTTTTAATGTTTATATAAAAAATGTTATATTTTTAAGCAAGATTTTTTTATATTTGCTTTTTAATTTTAATTAATTAAACTTAAACTTGTTTTTTAAAAAACGGTTTTTATTTTAAATTTATAAAAATTCTATTAAATATTATTTTATTAATAATTAAATAATATATCTCGAAAATAACAAAAATAACAAAAATAACAAAAACAGTAAAAATAGTAAAAATAATAAAAATAATAAAAATAATAAAAATAACAAAAACAATAAAAATAACGAAAATAATAAAAATAACAAAAACAATAAAAATAACGAAAATAATAAAAATAATAAAATAATTTATAAAAAATTTTATAAATATTATTTAATAAACAATTAAATCATATTTTTCGAACATAATAAAAAAAATAAAAATAAAATAATTAATAAAAATTTTTGTAAGTATTATTTAATAAATAATTAATTTATATTTTTTAATAATAATAATAAAAGCGTATTGTTTAACGTTATTAATATAAATAATAATAATAAACGTATTAATTAAAAACGTCGATAATTTAAAAGTTTTAATAATGCGTTTATTTTATCTTTTTTATAATCTTTTATTACTTTTAATAATAATAATTAAAATAATAATTTTATATTAAATTTATTAATTATTAAATTTGAAAAAAAAAATAATTTAAAAAATAATAACGGTTAAAATAATAATATTATAATAAATTTACTTATTATAAAATCCAAAAAAAAAATTAACTTTTTAAATAATAATAATATTATTAATAACGTAACGTATTAAATTATAATATGTTATATAAATGGCGTATAATATTAATATATTTAATATAATATAATTATTTTTTTAATTTTTATATTTATTAAATTTATTATAATATATTTAAAAAAATTTTAACGTAATAAAATTACGTTTAAAATTATATAATAAATATATAAATTATTATTTGATATATTAAAAAAATTGCGTAACTTTTTAATTATATTATTTTTATTATATTAATAAATTATATTAATTATAATTATTTAATTTAAATATTTATTTTTAATATTAATTATTTTATTATTTAATTATTTATTAATTATTAAAAATTTTTAAATATATATATAATTTATCTTTTATAAATAATATAAATAATTTCTTTATTAAAATATAAAATAATTTTAAATTATATATAATAAATATTTTAAAATTTAATAAAATAATAATATTTTTATTATATTATTATTTTATTATTTTTAAAAAATTATAAACTAATTATATTTAATATAATTTTTATAGTTTTAAAATTAAATTATATTTAATTAATTTATTTATTATGTGTTTATTTAATAATTTATAATATATATATATATAATAACTTATTATTTTAAACCTTTTTAATTTTCTTTTTTTTTTTACTTTTTTAAATATATAAATATTTAATAAAAATAGTTTTTTTATTTTTAACTTTAATTTTAATTAAATAATAAATCTTTTTTTTACTTATAATTAAATATAATTTTAAAATTTACGTTAAATATTATTATAGCCAATTCTTTTATAATTAATTTTTTTATATTTAAATTATTTATAAAATTTATAAAAAATATTATATTAATAGTTATATTAAATAAAATATAAAATAAAATAATTATGATTTATTAATAATTAAAATAAGAAAATTATTATAAAAACTATTTTTACATTATTATTTATTTTTTATTTTTTAATATAAATTTTAATATATTTTTTTTATTAATAATTATTAAACTTTTTATTTTTTTATTATTATTTAATTTGTTGTTATTATATTTATTACCTAAATACCAATTAAATAAAAATTTTCGGAAAAATATATTTTTAATTTTTAAAATAATTAAAGTAAAATATAAAGATATTATTTTTTTACTTTTATTAAAATTTATATTTATATTAAAAAATTATATAATTTAAATTTTTTTTAATAAACCAATACATAATTATTTATAATATTATTTTATATTTACCAAATTACAAAAACAATTT